AAAACTAATACAGTCTCCACATCTAACGACTGTTAAGTTTTTGGACTTAAAGTGGAATTCCAGTCAGTTTTGTATTTATTAAAAGTCAGCAGCTACAAAAACTGCTCCCCCCCCCCCAAAAGGTGCAAAATATGGCAGTGGAGGGGGGGGGAGGCAAATAGGTGGAGCTTCCACTTTTGGGTGAAACTCTCTGCTTTAAAGTGGTAGTTAAGTCCCATTTGACACTTGTGCCTACAGGTAAGCTTAAAATAAAGCTTACTTGAAGGTACAGGGAATATCTCCTAAACGTGTACTGTTTAACCACTTGGCTACCGGGCACTTATACTCCCTTCCTGACCAGGACAATTTTCAGCTTTCAGCGCTGTCGCACTTTGAATGACAATTGTACAATCATGCAACATTGTACCCATATGACATTTTTATCATTTTTTTTCACACAAATAGAGCATTCTTTTGGTGGTATTTACTCACCACTAGGTGTTTATATATTGTGCTATAAACAAAAAAAAAGAGTAAAAAAAAAAAAAAGTTTTCTTTGCTTTTTGTTTCTATTATAAAATTTTGCAAACAGATCATTTTTTCTCCTTCACTGATGTGCGTTGATGAGTCTGCACTAACTGGGGGCACTGCTGGGCTGCACTGATGGGGGGCACTGCTGGGCACTTGTGGGCGGAATTGGTGGGTGGCACTGCTGGGCACCGATCATCAGGGCAGTGATCATCAGTGCCCTGATGATCGGTGCTGATCCCTGCTCTGACAACTGCCGGTTCTCGGCAGTACTTTCCTCACGCCGTGACAGTGTGAGGAAAGTGCAGCCGATAACCGGCAATTGCATTTCCCGGTGATCAGTGTGTCATTGGACACGGCCGATCACGTGGTAAAAGGATCCTGTGATTGGCCTTTTACCACATTACGTGATCAGCTGTGTCCGTATGACACTGCGATCACGGAGATCACCGGGGGCACGCAGGAGAGCGCGTTTTGGGAGAACGTCCTATGACGCCCTCCCCAGAACTGGCCAGCTGCAGTGAAGCTGTCATTCGCCTATCTACGGTCGGCAAGTGGTTAAGAGATATTCAGTGTCTCTGCAGCAAGTAAAAACACCGGCGCGTGCGCTCTGAGGGAACCGTGCCCTTCCTTCAGAGCTCTGTACCGCGGCTTAGACTCCCACATGCATGCGTGGGAGTGACGTCATCGCAGCTTGGCCATTCAAGTGTCAAGAGTCTATGAACGCGGAAGGAAGACCGGTTGGAGATGGAAGCCCTGTCAGAGGTGACAGCGCGCCACTGGGGGACTTCATTTTCACGTAAGTCTATCATAATGTGCTTGTATGTAATGCATTCTAGCACATTATGACATTACCTTGCAGGGAGAAGTTTTTTGCACATTTACTACCACTTTAATTTGAATGCAGATTGCAGTTTTGCAACTTTGGCATGTCTTCGTAAAACTGTACATACTAAGGCAGCTACTAAGGCCTCATTCACATTGGTGATGATGCCTCTATAGCAGTTTTTTCTCAACCTTGTCAACGCAGAGGAACCCTTGAAATAATTTTCAGGGACCAGGGAACCCCTGCTAAAATGACTATATCTACAACTCATGACACATTAGTGTGATGGTCCTAATGTGATAGGCGTGCAGGTAAATGACCCTCAAAATCCTAGATTGTAAGCTCGAAAGAGTAGGGCCCTCTTACCCCTTGTGTCCTGTTTGATGTTACTGTACTGTTTCATGTATTGTCCCCCCCCTCTATTGTACAGCGCTGAGCAAACCCTTTGGCGCTATATAAACTCGATAAATAAATAAATAAAATGGTAGTAAAGTCACTTTGTATATTTTTACCTACAGGTAAGCATACCTGTAGGCAAAATGAATATTTCCTAAACATTCATTGTTTAGGAGACTTTCTACAGAGCAGCGGCCCGTGACAATACCGGCGCATGCGCTCTGAAGGAACAGCATATCTGTACCATTCCTTCAGAGCTGTGTGCCATGGCCGAAACCCCCAGGTGCTGGAGTGACGTCATTGGCGGCTTGGCCATTCAAGCAGGTGCAGCCCGCAAACCCGGAAGTAAGACCGGGGGAAGATGGAAGCCTTCTGCAGCAGTGACAGCGCACCACTGGGGGCTTCATTCTAAGGTATGTCTTTCATAATGTGTTTTGAAAGTCAAGTTTACTACCACTTTAAAGTGGTTCTAAAGGCTTTTTTTTCTTTAAAATAATAAACTCATCATAGTTACCTGCTCTGCGCAATGGTTTTGCACAGTGCAGTCCTGATTCGCCTCTTAGGTCCCCCACCAGCGCTTCTGGCCCCTCCTCCATGCTAAGTGCCCCCAGAGCAAGCTGCTTGCTCTGGGGGCATTCATGCATTCTCACTCCCTTGCCACCTCTGTGTGTGGGGGCCAGTGAGGAGAGGGAGTCCCAGGAGAGTTGCTGCCCTCATGCACATTGCTGGATCGAGATAGAATGCATTAAGGTAAAAAAACCTTGAGCCCTTAGAACCGAAGACAATGTACATGTATACCATGTTTTTGTCAAGGGTAAATTGAACCTTCATTTGGTTGTAAAAGGTAGTGGATATCTCCTAATTGTTTTTATTATGGAGCAGGGGCGGACTGACAACTCATGGGGCCCCTGGGCAATAGGGGATCATGGGGCCCCTGTGTCCTTGCCCAAACTCAAAAAAGCTTATGAGAAAGGTACCAGGGGCATCTCATGGCGCCCCCTACTGACCCCTGGCCCTTGGGCAGTGCCTGAGTTTCCAAATGGTCAGTCCGCCCCTGTTATGGAGAAAGCTGGCCTAAAATAGTTTAAAAAAAATATATTTTTTTTAAGACTAAGCTGTATATTTCTTGTCATTATCATTAACCACCATAAAATAAAACTCCAATTAATTTCTCTTACTCCAGATGTTTACGGTGATTACATATGTGTGCATACTAATTGTTCCTGTGGTAGGGCCAATAAAATAATAGACTATAAATAATTAATTGTGATTCCCTCAGTGTAAAATTGCCATTCAATTAAAGAAAAAAAAAAAAAAAAAGTTGAAAAAATAGATGCTAGCAGATGGCAGTAGCACCCCCTGAACAATTGCCATCCTCTGAAAAGTGATCCACCACAGGCCACTTTTCAGATTGCAGTAAACATTACTGCCTGTCTTAAAGAAAGTGAAAGTAAAGCTGGAAATCCACTTTAAAATAAACTTTTACATCTAACTACCTGTAGTTTGTTTGGGCCAAGCTGGCTCAAACAAACTAAAGTGAAAATAAAGCAGAAAATTGGTTTTAATCCTACCTAAAACATGATCCTAACCCTTGACCCCCATGCTATACTAGATAGGCTATTTTATCTTTATTTTTACACACTTTTTTTTTTCCTGAACATTTCCTCTAGGCTTTACTGATTGATCACTGTGATAGCCAATCCCTATCGTTCGTATGAGACCAGGTGCTGTGGATGAGCTCAGTCTCCTGCGTATGAGACCAGGTGCTGTGGATGAGCTCAGTCTCCTGCGTATGAGACCAGGTGCTGTGGATGAGCTCAGTCTCCTGCGTATGAGACCAGGTGCTGTGGATGAGCTCAGTCTCCTGCGTATGAGACCAGGTGCTGTGGATGAGCTCAGTCTCCTGCGTATGAGACCAGGTGCTGTGGATGAGCTCAGTCTCCTGCGTATGAGACCAGGTGCTGTGGATGAGCTCAGTCTCCTGCGTGAGACCAGGTGCTGTGGATGAGCTCAGTCTCCTGCTGGAAGTATGCTATGGAGTGCACTTCCAGCAAAATTGCTAATACACATCTGTCATACTTTGGAAGAAGGCTTGCTTCCATGACACTACATTTGTGCATTAACACTAGTATAAAATAATGAACTTTAAAGCGATCCTGTCAAAGGGTCTACAAAATCCTAAAAGAACTAACCTGTAAGGAAAACTGCTTCATACATGCCTGGCCAACTGCTAAAATGTCACGCTTTAGCAAAGTTCCTGGCACCAATCTGTGTTGACTCCTCAGAGTGGATTTATAGTGGATCCTCCCAAAAGCCATTGTGATAACTGCTACAGACCCCTGGTGATTGCGGGACACAAAGTGATGTGTTTGTTTTTAGAAGAAAGACAGTAGCCAGAGGGGGACATGCTATCAAACTCCTGGAAGTGTAGATTGGGATCAGTGCTGGGAGCTGCTACAGTTTTACAAATAAGGTGACAGACACATATAGTTATTTTTTTATAGGTTAGTTCATTGTGATTTTATAGACCCCTTGACAGAGTCCCTTTAAGCAAAAGGCCTTGATAGGCCTTGGGCATTCTTGATGCCATGTTGTGGCCGAGTGATGTTATTGATGCTAGCAAGCAAATGACTGTGCGCCTGCCTACTGTTCCCACTTTGAGCTACATTCACATGGGCAATAGGGGGGGTGGGTAGTACGCTGCCTTTGGAGACCGTTAAATGATACTCCTGGATGCAGTAGCTCTGGTGTATCCGGAAACGCCATCTTTGGATGCACACGGTCTGCATCCAAGGTCAGTCGGATGCTGTATTTTCTTGTAACCACTCAGATGAGCAGTTAATTGCACACAGCACTGGTCATTGATTTGTACAGAGTACAAATCTAACAGCCTCCACCGCTGTTCACACACAGCATGAGCATTAAGAAATGCATCTTAAAATCTACTAATTCTTGTATTGGCTGCCCCTAGCTGCCTGTGTGAATTGGTAGACTCAAGATAAGGTGAATGGGTCTGAGTCTCTGGGTCAGCTCAGAAGGGGGCAGACTTGGATGCTTTTCCATGCATAGAATGCATGAAGGTAAAAAACCTTCAGCATTTACAACCACTAAGTTTTAACATTGTTCTTCCAGGGTTATTTGGCTAGTTTACAGCTATGATAAAATAAATTGTCTTTATGTTCTCTAAGTGTTAGTACTGAAATACCTGCTTGTCTGATTTAGTTTCTCCTGTCATTTTATCTTTTTCTTTTAATAGCTCAGACCAGGTAACATGGCTTCTGAAGATATCTCACAGCTGGCTGATTCCCTGGCAAAAACTAGGGTGGGAGGGGGAGAGCTAAGCTTTAAAGGCAAAACTCTGAAGCTTAACACAGCTGAAGATGGTAAGTTTTAATGTGTAAGTTTTGTTGATGTAAATGGGTCGGAAGGTATATTATATTTTACTTGTTTTTTTTGTTTTTTTTTAACATATCTGCAGTTGCTTCCTGGCTTCTGGCCTAGTTCAAAATGTCATAGATCCCAGGAGTCTTCAGGAGGGGAAGAGTGATTTCTCAGCTAAACTCATCCACTTGCCTGCATGCTTGAGCTAAGGGCATATGTATTACAGGAAGTAAATGCTACCTAAATCATCTGCCCTTTCTCAAGATGGCCACGGCTAGAAATGCTAGGGGAGGGTGAATTTGCTTTGAATATTTATTTTAAAAAAATTAGCTCAGTCCCCATCCAATAAATGGGCCCCAGAGCACTGCTATCATTAGGTGCTACCCAAGCCTCCGACAGCATTAACTGGGCCTGTTTCAGGGGTGTTGAAATTTTTGAAAAAACTAATTGTCCGGGGACTAAAAAAAATTTGACCAAAACCGTTTTTAAATCAGAGGAGATTTTTAGGACTGTTTTAAAAACAAAAGGGGTTTTATGGCGACTTAATTGTGTAACATTTTTAACATTGCACTTTTTATCTCCTCCTCCCCTCCCTGCCTATCTCCAGCACTGCACCCAGCGACTAGCAGGGAGGGGAGAGACCTTGCAGTGTAATGAGCACCGACTGGCTGCTCCTCAGGAAAGGGGAGTGTCAGGCTTATCCTTTATTCCTTTTCACTGCCAGAGCCGTTTTTGCGTTTTTTTTATTTTATTAAAAAAATAATTTTAGGCCTGAAGATTATACAAAACCCCCAAACATATATTTTCTGAAAGCAGAGACCCTAGAGAATAAGTGGTAGTTCCAATTTTTTATGTCGCATAATATTACCGCAAAATTTCAGTAAAAATACAAGTAATAAGTTAATTTTAGGGCACAAAAAAAGCAATAAATGACCCCTTTTTTTGTAAAAGATGAGGTTGCATCGCGTAAATAGATATCCAACTTGTCAAACGTTAAATTTGCGTGCGCTCGTGAAATGGCGATGAATTTCAGTACCCAAAATTTTCTAAAGGTGATCCTTTTAAAGCCCCTTATACAGGTGAAACTCGAAAAATTAGAATATCGTGCAAAAGTTCATTTATTTCAGTAATGCAACTTAAAAGGTGAAACTAATATATGAGATAGACTCATTACATGCAAATCAAGATAGTTCAAGCCGTGATTTGTCATAATTGTGATGATTATGGCTTACAGCTCATGAAAACCCCAAATCCACAATCACAGAAAATTAGAATATTACATGCAATCAATAAAACAAGGATTGTACATAGAACAATATCGGATCTCTGAAAAGTATAAGCATGCATATGTAGTCAGTACTTGGTTTGGGCCCCTTTTTTGCAGCAATTACTGCCTCAATGCAGCGTGACATGGAAGCTATCAGCCTGTGGCACTGCTGAGGTGTTATGGAAGACCAGGATGCTTCAATAGCTGCCTTCAGCTCTTCTGCATTGTTCGGTCTCATGTCTCTCATCTTTCTCTTGGCAATGCCCCATAGATTCTCTATGGGGTTCAGTTCAGGCAAGTTTGCTAGCCAATCAAGCACAGTAATCCCACGGTCATTGAACCAGGTTTTGGTGCTTTTGGCAGTGTGGGCAGGTGCCAAGTCCTGCTGAAAAATGAAGTCAACATCCCCATAAAGCTCGTCTGCGGAAGGAAGTATGAAGTGCTCCAAAATCTCCTGGTAGACGGCTGCGTTGACCCAGGACTTAATGAAGCACATTGGACCAACACCAGCAGATGACATGGCTCCCCAAATCAACACGGACTATGAAAACTTCACACTGGACTTCAAGCATCTTGCAGTGTGTGCCTCTCCATTCTTCCTCCATACTCTGGGTCCTTGGTTTCCAAATGAGATGCAAAAGTTGCTCTCATCAGAAAAGAGGACTTTGAACCACTGAGCAACAGACCAGGTCTGTTTTTCTTTAGCCCAGGTAAGACGCTTCTGACGTTGTTTGTTGTTCAGGAGCGGCTTGACAAGAGGAATACGACATTTGAAGCCCATGTCCAGGATCAGTCTGTGTGTGGTAGCTCTTGATGCACTGACTCCAGCCTCAGTCCACTCCTTGTGAAAGTCCCCAACACTTTTGAATGGCCTTTTCCTGACAATCCTCTCCAGGCTGTGTTCATCCCTGCTGCTTGTGCACCTTTTTCTACCACATAACTTTCTATTAATGTGCTTTGATACAGCACTTTGGGAGCATCCAACATCTTTTGCAATTACCTTTTGAGGCTTTCCCTCCTTATGGAGGGTGTCAATGATGGTTTTCTGCACATCTGTCAGGTCAGCAGTCTTTCCCATGATTGTGATTCCTACTGAACCAGACTGAGGGACTATTTAAAGGCTCAGGAACCCTTTGCAGGTATTATGGCTTAATTAGCTGATTAGAATGGGATACTTTGAGCCTAAATTATTGCACCTTTTCACAATATTTTACTTTTCTGAGATTGTGGATTTGGGGTTTTCATGAGCTGTAAGCCATAATCATCACAATTATGACAAATCACGGCTTGAACTATCTTGCTTTGCATGTAATGAGTCTATCTGATATATTAGTTTCACCTTTTAAGTTGCATTACTGAAATAAATGAACTTTTGCACGATATTCTAATTTTTCGATTTTCACCTGTAGGCCATCAGTTTAGTGTTATGGAGGTGTTCTGGTGTTAGAATTCTTGCTCTCATTCTCGCGTGCATGGCGATATGCAACGTGTATTACATTCAACGTTTTCATGCGTAGGTGACCCAGCGTGTGCTTTTACGTTTCTATGTGCGGGTGGGGGGGCCTCAGTTTGTTTGGGGGGGGAGATGTTATGTGCTTAGGTGTAACTTTCATTGTTTACGATTTTAAAAAAAAGACTTTTTTTTTTTTTTTTTTTTACTTTTTTTTTCTCATCACATAGGGAACAATGTCCCCTATGTGATGATTTTTGGTGACGGATTCTCTCTGAGACATACAAGGTCTAAAAGACCCTGCATGTCTTCCCTGTGCTCCACTGAATGTAATGCAGTGCACATCGCACCGCATTATGTTCTTTCTTTTAACGGGGACCCAGAAGTGACTTCCTGGTCAGGACAAGAAGGGGAGGGGAATGGATGTTTCCGCTCTCCTCCCTCCATTCTAGATGACGAAGCAGAGCCTGGAAGATAGTGGGCGGGGGGAGGTTCACGCGATTGGGGGTGGTGTTTGGTGGCTGGCACTGTGTGGAAGCAATCGGTGGCAGTCGATTGCTTCCACCTGCAAGGTGAGCCCTGCTGCAGGGCTGATGGTAAAAAAAAACTACCTGTCCGGAACTACATGTCCCGGGCGCCGGCCGATAGGAATTCAACACCCCTGTATTTATAGGCCGTGTTGGAGAAATTTGGCTTTGGGAGAGTATTCATGTCTTGGGTCCGCTTGTTGTCTAGATATCCCCAGGCAGCGATTAGGGAATCTGGTAGACTGTCCTACACTTTTGCCCTTGGCCAGGGAACTAGACAGGGGTGTCCTCTCTCACCCCTTCTATTTGCTCTAGCAATTGACACCCTGGCTATTAAAATTAGAACCAATTCCAACATCATTGGCTTTTGCTATGGCAATCGCCAGGAAAAGATAATGCTTTATGCCGATGATACCTTATTACTGCTGGGTGATTCAGACTACTCCCTAAAAAATAAAAAAAAACCATGACCACTATTGCGCAGTTTGGCAGATTCTCTGGACTTGCCACAAATTGGTCAAAATCCGCATTAATGCCTCTAGATAGGGACATTTCGCAGCCAGTTCTTGCAGCTCCCATCCCTCTCCATACCTACTTTAGATACTTGGAGGTTCAGATTTTCCTTGCATTAAAGATTTCTACCGTCTGAATGTGTTCCCTCCCATCCAGCGGTTCCGGGACCACATAAAAGTTTGAAATTCTCTCCCCCTATCAGTGGCAGGCAAGGTAAATTTCATCAAGATGATTTACTTTTTTTTCTCCATGATACCCCTGTGGTAATTCCACTTAAGATTTTCAGATTGGTTAATTCCCTTTTTCAAACTCTGACTTGGAAGGATAGGGTTCCCAGAATTAAATTAGAACACTTACAATGCAGCACCTGGTCGGTACCGTAAGTATAAAGGATAATCCGGATGACCCTAAAAATAACTCCTCTTGTGAAGTGATGGTCCTTACTATCCATAGGGACTCTATCCCACAGGCACTTGAGTCACAGGCCTTTGGAAAACCGCACAAAGTTTTTCCCACATATAAACTCATTCAGAAGGTATGGAATAAAACTAAGCACCTTCAGGGGGTCACTGGTTTTACTGAATGTAGCCCTATTTGGCAAAATGGGAACTGTGTAGAGCTGGCTAAGCTACAATATGTGGCAAGGTGGAAGAGGCATGGAATCACACTCTTTAGCCATGTATTTCTTAGTGGGATCCTTCTGTTGTTTGATGCCCTTCACCTGAAGTTTAACTTACCATTCTCTATGTATCTATACTACATGCCATTTTGGCTCAGAGTACTTCCACTGAATGAGTCCTGTCCAAAATTACACACTTATTGTACAGTAGATGTTGCTGCTCTGAATTCAGTGTTTCAGGTATCCCTCCCCTTGGATCCAAAATGCTGCATACTTAGTATGCTGGATGATCTAGACTTAGAGACATTTATGAAGGAAGTCAGAGGATCTGCCCAATCTGGGGGAATGGATCAAGAATGTAGGCAGCAATTTAAGATTAGAGAAATGTATTTACCAGCATAGAGGATGTCCAAACAAATATGAAAAACTATGGGCTCCATGGTTGTAGGTTCTGGGTCTGGCACCTACAGATCTAATAATGGATAGGTTGTTAAGATGTTACTCTGGGTAGAGATAAATCTGTGCACCTTGCATATATGTTGACTAGGCTTAGTCTAAGTGAGTGTGAACAGTTTTCAATAATTCAGATTTATACTTTTCATTTGAAACATGATGCTGTATTGGTTGACTTTATTCTGTATACACTCTAAGGATGAGTTATGCTATCTTGTCCTGTATGGCAATGCTTTGGCTCCTAGTGTTAAGAGATTATTTTTGGATCAAAAAAAAAAGAGAGCTAAATAGCATTTTCAGATACAGTTTAGTTTCGCTTTAACTCTAGGCATGCTGTTTCATTTAGAGTTGCTGCCGGTTTTAAATTCAGTATAGGTTTGTTTGTGTTTATATTTAAACTTTTATTTTTTTATTTTTAGCTGAAGGTGTGATACGGGAAATCAATGAGTATGAAGGGCTGCAGGCATTACGTCTAGAGGGCAACACTGTAGGTGTGGAAGCAGCTAAAGCTATTGCTAAGGCTTTGGAAAACAAGTCTGATCTCAAGGTAACCATGACAGCTTTTTTAAGTAACACATTGTGATTATAAGTTAGTGGGTATTAAGTCAATAAATTTCTCTATCACTCATTGATGGACACAGCTTAATTTTTTTTTTTTAGATGTGTGAGTTGCACCTAGCATTATTCATTCTGCAGGTGACAACAAAAAGGCAGCATTATTCATTCTGCAGGTGACAACAAAAAGGCAACCTAAGATACTAGCATCACCCCTAAATGTATTCTGTGTATTTAAGTAAAAAACCCTATGTATACAGCTCCCCCCAGCCCCCTCTCATACTTACCTGAGCCTGCTGCCAGTCACAGCCTGTAAGGAGAGGGCGAGGCTCAGCTGCAATGTATGTCAGTGGAGATATATCTATATACACACTGCATGTTGAAATGCGTTTTTTATATATTAGAAATAATATGAAATATATTTTTTATATTTGTAAATGCTATCCAAAAATGTAGATTTGTATTTTTAAAGACATACAGTACCGTATTTGCCGGCGTATAAGACGACCCCCTACTTTTCCTGTTAAAATATAGGGTTTGGGCTATACTCGCCGTATAAGACTACCCCTCTTCCAACGCACACCAAAAATTAAAAAACATCAGATTTAATTTCAATATAGTATGGTATTCCAATGATGGGGCACGCTTCCTCACACTCTGACACCAATGATGGTGCCCCATCATTAGTGTCAGTGTGTGAGGAATAGTGTCCCATCATTAGTGTCAATGGGAGGAATAGTGCCCCATCATTGGTGTTAGTGGGAGGAATAGTGCCCCATCATTGGTGTCAGTGGCAGGAATAGCACCCCATCATTGGTGTCCGTGGGAGGAATAGTGCCCCATCATTGGTGTCCGTGGGAGGAATAGTGCCCCATCATTGGTGTCTGTGGGAGGAATAGCGCCCCATCATTGGTGTCAGTGGGAGGAATCGTGCCCCATCATTGGTGTCAGAGCAACGAATCGTGCCCCATCATTGGTGTCAGTGGGAGGAATAGCACCCCATCATTGATATCAGTGGGAAGAATCGTGCCCCATCATTGGTGTCAGTGGGAGGAATAGCGCCCCATCATTGGTGTCAGTGGAAGGAATAGCGCCCCATCATTGGTGTCAGTGGGAGGAATAGCGCCCCATCATTGGTGTCAGTGGGAGGAATAGCGCCCCATCATTGGTGTCAGTGGGAGTAATAGTGCCCCATCATTGGTGTCAGTGGGAGGAATAGTGTCCCAACATTGGTGTCAGTGGGAGGAATAGTATCTCAACATTGGTGTCAGTGGGAGTAATAGTGCCACATCATTGGTGTCAGTGGGGGGAGGAATAGTGCCCCATCGTTGGTGTCAGTGGGGGGAGGAATAGTGCCCCATCGTTGGTGTCAGTGGGGGGAGGAATAGTGCCCCATCGTTGGTGTCAGTGGGGGGAGGAATAGTGCCCCATCGTTGGTGTCAGTGGGGGGAGGAATAGTGCCCCATCGTTGGTGTCAGTGGGGGGAGGAATAGTGCCCCATCGTTGGTGTCAGTGGGGGGAGGAATAGTGCCCCATCGTTGGTGTCAGTGGGGGGAGGAATAGTGCCCCATCGTTGGTGTCAGTGGGGGGAGGAATAGTGCCCCATCGTTGGTGTCAGTGGGGGGAGGAATAGTGCCCCATCGTTGGTGTCAGTGGGGGGAGGAATAGTGCCCCATCGTTGGTGTCAGTGGGGGGAGGAATAGTTCCCCATCGTTGGTGTCAGTGGGGGGAGGAATAGTTCCCCATCACTGGTGTCAGTGGGGGGAGGAATAGTGCCCCATCATTAGTATCAGTGACACCAATGATGGGGCACTATTCCTCGCACTGACACCAATGACACTTGCTGACTCCTGTTCTAGTATGGTACTGCTGCAGCCAGCATATGTGGTTGCAGCAGCACCTCTGCACTGCACACTTACCCTCACTCGATTTTCGCGGGTCTGCTCGGCACCGCCTCCTTGCCCGTGATTGGCCGCCTGTGTGCCTTTCCTGAGCTACAGTTCTGGCGGCCAATAACCGGTGAGGAGGCGGAGCCAGGTAAGAGACTGCAGCCCTCTGCCCACCCCTGTACTTAGTGTCCCTTCCGTCGGAAGGGGGGGGGGGCGGCGGCAGCACCACGCCGCCCCCCTAAAAAGTGCCCCCTGACGTGTACCGGTGTATAAGACGACCCCCGACTTTTGAGAAGATTTTAAAGGGTCAGAAAGTCGTCTTATATGCCGGAAAATACGGTATATTTGAAATATATTTTTCATATATTTTTTAATAAAGCATTTCATCATGCAGTATTTTGAAACATATTGAATATGGCCAAAATTGTAGCATTTCAAATATATGTCACAATATTTTGGAAGAATATTTTTAAAATATATTTCAAATATATTTTTCTTCCATGTGAGTACACAGAGAACAGCTCGTGATTGAGTCCGCATGAGTGCCCCCATAGCAAGCAGCTTGCTATGAGGGGCATGCAGAAGGGGAGAGGAGCCAGGACTGCTTGTGGGGGGCCCAAGAAGAGGAGGATCGGGGCTGCTGTGTGCAAAACTCACTCCCTCCAGGCTGCAGAGCTCTGGACCCCTTCTCTCCTGGAAGCTGCCTACAAATTTCCTTGTGCGAGGCTGCTGAGGGCTGAGTGATGTGCTCTGCGTGAAAGCATGTAGGCTGACCAATTCCTGTAATCGCCCAGTCTTAGGCAGGAAGCATTGGCATATCCAATTTTTTTGTAGCAGGCCAATTCACAAGTGCATATGACCAACAGCAATGTCGATCTTTTCTTTCCGGTGAGTTAAGAGGCTGATTGGAGTTTACAGTGCTTGTGGCAATTAAATCTACATTGTTGCTGTAACTGTTTCTCCTGTTTTTGGACTAACGTGGGTATCCCTTTTACATGGGGCAGATTTTGCTCCGATCAGCAGGGCAGCAGAGCAGGATGGATGTGACATCAACATTTTTTACTCCTTGTAATGCTTGCTAATAACCAAGCTCTCTAGCAGATGTGGGGTTTACCCATTCTTGTTGCCATCTGCTCAGATTGCTATTTCTTCTTTCTTCCTTCTTTTTGCCTAGCGAACTGCAGGTTGCTATATAAACCCACATGTCTAATGAAAAAAGCTGGGTTCCTCAATTAAGAATTTTACAGTAAGTAGAAAAATGTTACTTTCAGAATTTACATCAGGTGTCGTCAAACTTTTTAACCGGGGCCAATTCACGGACCTTCACACTATTGGGTGGCCGGACTATAGTTTTAAAATATAAACAGATTCTTATGCACACTGCACATATCTTATTTGTAGTGTAAAAAAAGCACTGGACACTGCCGTGCACTGCACTCTGTAACGCACTGGACACTGCCGTGCACTGCACTCTGTAACGCACTGGACACTGCCGTGCACTGCACTCTGTAACGCACTGGACACTGCCGTGCACTCTGTGCACTCTGTAACGCACTGGACACTGCCGTGCACTGCACTCTGTAACGCACTGGACTGGACACACTGCACGTGCACTGCACTCTGTAACGCACTGGACACTGCCGTGCACTGCACTCTGTAACGCACTGGACACTGCCGTGCACTGCACTCTGTAACGCACTGGACACTGCCGTGCACTGCACTCTGTAACGCACTGGACACTGCCGTGCACTGCACTCTGTAACGCACTGGACACTGCCGTGCACTGCACTCTGTAACGCACTGGACACTGCCGTGCACTGCACTCTGTAACGCACTGGACACTGCCGTGCACTGCACTCTGTAACGCACTGGACACTGCCTCTGTAACGCACTGCACTCTGTAACGCACTGGACACTGCCGTGCACTGCACTCTGTAACGCACTGGACACTGCCGTGCACTGCACTCTGTAACGCACTGGACACTGCCGTGCACTGCACTCTGTAACGCACTGGACACTGCCGTGCACTGCACTCTGTAACGCACTGGACACTGCCGTGCACTGCACTCTGTAACGCACTGGACACTGCCGTGCACTGCACTCTGTAACGCACTGGACACTGCCGTGCACTGCACTCTGTAACGCACTGGACACTGCCGTGCACTGCACTCTGTAACGCACTGGACACTGCCGTGCACTGCACTCTGTAACGCACTGGACACTGCCGTGCACTGCACTCTGTAACGCACTGGACACTGCCGTGCACTGCACTCTGTAACGCACTGGACACTGCCGTGCACTGCACTCTGTAACGCACTGGACACTGCCGTGCACTGCACTCTGTAACGCACTGGACACTGCCGTGCACTGCACTCTGTAACGCACTGGACACTGCCGTGCACTGCACTCTGTAACGCACTGGACACTGCCGTGCACTGCACTCTGTAACGCACTGGACACTGCCGTGCACTGCACTCTGTAACGCACTGGACACTGCCGTGCACTGCACTCTGTAACGCACTGGACACTGCCGTGCACTGCACTCTGTAACGCACTGGACACTGCCGTGCACTGCACTCTGTAACGCACTGGACACCGCCATGCACGGTGCTTGGTGTGCTTTCCTGTCCTGTTGCTCCTCCTGGCTGCAGCATGTGAAATCCAGGGCTTGCAAGCTGCCGCTCACTGGGTCCTCATGGCTGAGGACCCAGCGAGCAGCCTAGCTATTTGCCGGCTGGCGCTGTTTTTTTTGTTTTTTTTTGTTTTGCTTTTTTCTTCTTTTTTAGACTGGTCCGGAGGGCCACATAAATGTCTTTGGCGGGCTGTAGTTTGAGGACGCTTGATTTACATTTTATGTCAAAGGCATTTCATGTTGGTATTATATCCATAGAGCTATATTGAAGTGTATAGTTCTAAATACTGGATAGTTTATTGTTTAAATATGTTAAAGGTCACCTTCGTAAGACACATGGCCAATTGATAATTTAATGTATAAATTGGGTTTTGCCAAATGGCAGTAAATATTTCTTTAATGCATTGTGCTGCCTGACCTGATCACGTTTAGATTTTACAATTTCTCTTTGTTCTAGCGTTGCCATTGGAGTGATATGTTCACTGGGAGACTAAGATCTGAAATTCCTCCTGCATTAGTAAGTATACCATGTACCAAACCATTTGTTTTGTTACAAGTGTAACTTATCTTAATTATGGTAATAAACAAGTTTCTTGGTGACGCATATGGTTGCATGCATAATTATCACACTATTGTACTTCTCATATGCTGCATTTGACCCCAGACTTTCTACATATGTGTGCATGCTTAACCACTTGAGCTCCAGAGGATTTACCCCCCTTAATGACCAGGCCTCTTTTTGCTACTCGGCGCTGCACTAATTCAACTGATAATTGCGCGGTCATGCAATGCTCCACCCAAACGAAATTTACGTCCTTTTTTTCACACAAATAGAGCTTTCTTTCGGTGTAATTTGATCACCTGTGCGCTTTTTATTTTTCACGCTATAAACAAAAAAAGGCCAAAAATTTTGAAGAAAAACAATATTTTTTTACTTTCAGCTATAAAAAATATATAGTAAACTCAAAGTTGGTTATAAATTTAGGCCAAAATGTATTCTGCTACATGTTTTTGGTAAAAAAAAATCCCAATAAGTGTATATTGATTGCTTTGTGTGGAAGTTATAGCGTCTACAAACTATGGTATAAATACTGCAATTTACGCCATTTTTCTGCTATACAGCGCTGCGCTAGTTTAACGGACAATTGCGCAGTCATGCAATATGGTACATAAATGAAATTTACATCCTTTTTTTCCCCACAAATTGAGCTTTCTTTCGGTGGTATTTGATCGCCTGTGCGGTTTTTATTTTTTGCGCTATAAAAAAAAAAGGCTGACAATTTTGAGGAAAAAAAAACAATATTTTGGACTTTTTGCTATAAAACATGTCCAGTAAAAGAAAAATGCAAAAATCAAATTTAGTCATAAATTTCTGCCAAAATGCATTCTGCGACATGTCTTTGCAAAAAAAAAAACCCAATACGTGTAAATTAATTGGTTTACGTGAAAGTTATAGCGTTTACAAATGGTGGGAAAGATACTGGGATTTTTAGTTTTTTTTTTTTTTTATACTATTAATGGCGGCGATCAGGGACTTATGGCGGGACTGCGGTGGACATTCTGACATTGGGGTGTACTGACTTGGGGTCACTGACATCCCCAAAAACACTAATACAGTGATCAGTGCAAAAAAAAAACACTGACACTGTACTAATGGCAATGGGGAGGAAGGGGTTAACTTTATTTTGCAGGGAAGGGTTATAGGAGTGAGGGGAGTGTTTTACTAGGGGGCGGGGGTGTGTACTGGACGGGACAAGGCTGATCGAGAAAGAGAAACTGTTCTTTCTCGATCAGTTCATCCTTGAGCTGACAGGGAAGTGACAGACAGCACAGCTACTGCAGCTGTGCTGTCTGTCACTGTTTGCCGCCAATTGCCGGGAAACAGCCGCTAAGGAGCGGCTGTGACCCGGCGACTCACATCTGCGGCGGTGATCGGCGGGACAAATAGGGCGGCGGCGCGCCTCGCACGCGCCCCCTATTTGTTTACAAAATACACATTTTAAAACGTGGTTTTGCCTGCGAGTGCCGCCTGCCGCCGTATATGTACAGTGGCTGGGCGGCAAGTGGTTAAACATTACACGAGGAGCACAACAATGGCAGAGATTGGTAGTTGTGCGGTCACCACACCACCCACTGCTGTACAGGAGGTAAATGGCGGGGACACCTCTATTTGGGCCTCTATTCAGCACTCTGGTCATCTAGTCTCTGTTCAAGCCAGCCTTATTTGGATACCTTTATCACCTACAGTTATATCTGCGCACAACACAGATAGCACAGGTTGCCTATCAACCTCATTCATGGGGGCATCAGCTTAATAGTGGATTTAAAATCTCATAACAGATACCAGATTTCCAGCTGGAATCGGCAAGCATCTTCAATCCAGCATCCTCACAATGTAGCACAAGCAATTCCATTCCATGGATTGTCCAATGCTCATATCTAGCCCAAAGCTCACCTTGGCATGTTGGATCTCCAATTCTGCCTCGGAATTGGTAGACTCATTTCTTCACATATTGTGTAAAACAAACAGTGCAGCACTCAACCTATGAAAACCAAACTGATAATGAACAGAAAAGTCCCACTTGTGCGAGTTATACAATGAGTGAAAATAAATGATTAAACCGTGTTAAAGAGTCTGTAATGAAGATCAGATCAAATCAGTCCCACATGCCGTGATGAATTTAGGAAACTTCCAAAGTAGCCAGTGTGACACCATCCATTTGTATGCAAGGCTTACCGGAAGGATTTTGACCCCCTACTAAGAGTGGTCAATCAACGCTCTTTTAATGTGATATTGGTAACATCATGGATATAAAATGGTCCTCTAAAGACAGTTGTTTTTTTTTTTGTTTTATTTTGGTTTTTTTTTTGTAGTGTGAACTAGAGAAATAGCTAAATTTATTGTAATGAAGCTAGAATGGGTGCCTTGCGGCTGGAGAAACAACATCCTTTAGACAAATGGAATGTAGTTTTCTGTCTGGAAAAAAAACTGTGTGTATAACAAATGTCACTCCAGAGTTTTTTGAGAGACTATTTTGGCCACCTATCAATAATTCAGTTCTTTGTCTATGGGAGGCAATATGTAATCGTCTTAATTGACCATTCAGGATATCCCCTTTGTTTAAGCCTTCTAGTAATTATGTTACATTCAGTAAGTTAGCTTCTGTGGATCAATTTCTTCTTGCTGTAATAAATTCCCCAATGGGGATTGATTTTATAGTATAGAAATGGTGACAACTACTTGCCAATACAATTTAATTTCCTGCATGCCATTTTCTGTATGTTTTAGTAGTAATACACCCAGTGTCCTACTCTTCATATATGGTAACAGCCAAAAAGCTTTGTGATGTTGCCACCTGTCTCACAGGTAAACTGTAAGATTAGCTTGTCATCCGCATATTGCATGAACTAGTGTAAAAGTTTCATCAGGATCCCACTGCCATATAATAAGCAAGTCGTCTTTGAAATGAACATGCCAATGAAATTATTGGCAAAGGGTTTTGCAAAGAAAAGATGTACATTTCTTCCCACCAACCCATAAATAAATGTGCAAGGGAGGGGAAGAACCTGGCACCCTTGGATGCTCCACATATCTGTAATTAATAAAACTCATCAAATAGATATACCAGTAATAAGAAGAAATTCAGTGCATAATAACAAAAATTGAAGATCATTCCTCAACTGCTACACAAGATAGAGGGTGTAAGGTTTCTGGTGATTCTTATCACATCAAATTGACCCAGAAGGACATGGTACATTGACATAGTCCATATAAGCTCTGACCTTTTCCAAACAGATGATACTCATTGGCCAAAGGGCCGTCTGTTATAACCTGATTCTGAGTTACTGGCTTTAAGTCCTAAAAGATAGGGGTATCTCTGACTGTTATTCCTACCTTACTCAGAGCAAGAAAATAGAACTGCAAGATTTACCATCTCACATGGAAGACATTCTTGGTGCGAGGACAATCTGCTGAACCCCAGAAATACTCTAACTTATTTTGGCCTTTCTTCAGTTTGGTCTTGACCAGTGTCTGGCTTTAAGTACCCTCAATGGTGAGGTTTCTTGCCTTATTCTTTCTTTTTCAGAAACCGCTCACTTCGCAAACCCTAATCATGACTTTTCTTCAGTTAGTTACTCATATAAATCTGCCAGTTCGACTTCCTCTATTGCCTTGGTCTCAACTTGGTGCTGTCTGTGCTTCAGAGACCCCCACTTTAAAGCGATTAGAGACATTTCATTGGAAGACCCCATGCGTAAGGTTGCTTTCTTGGTGGCCATTAACCAATTCAATACTGGGCACTTTTACACCTTCCTGCCCAGGCCATTTTTCAGGTTTCAGCGCTCTCCCACTTTGAATGACAATTGCGCGGTCATACAACATTGTACCCAAACTAAAATTGTATCATTTTCTTCACACAACTAGAGCTTTCTTTTGGTGGTATTTAATCACCGCTGGGGTTTTTATTTTTTGCTAAATTAACAAAGACCAAAAATTTTGAAAAAAAAAAACAAACGTTTTTCTTTGTTTCTGTTATAAAAGTTTGCAAATAAATAATTGTTCTTCATAAATTTAGGCCAAGATGTATTCTGCTACAAGTCTTTGGTAAAAATAACTCATATTGGGATGTATTTTTTAGTTTGTAGGAAAGTTATAGAGTTCACAAACTATGGTATAGATCTGAATATTGATCAATCCTGAAGTACTGACAGCCAATCTAATTTCTTGAGGTCCAAGAATGTCAGAACAGTACAGATACCCCCCAAATGACCCTTTTTTGCAAAGTAGACCGACATACTTCATAAGAGGCATGGCGATTTTTTTGAAGTTGTATTTTTTTTGTCATAATATTCAGAAAATGAAACAATTAGTTTCACTATTTTTTTTTATTTTATTTACATATTGTCACCAGTGCAGTACAGCGTCATCATATAACTGGCATGGCGGTGATCAGGGACACTGACTGGTGACAGTATAAAAAAAAATATATATATACAGTGGGGATCGAAAGTTTGGGCACCCCAGCTAAAAATTTGTATTAATGTGCATAAAGATGCCAAGGAAAGATGGAAAAAATCTCCAAAAGGCATCAAATTACAGATTAGACATTCTTATAATATGTCAACAAAAGTTAGATTTTATTTCCATCATTTACACTTTCAAAATAACAGAAAACAAAAAAATGGCGTCTGCAAAAGTTTGGGCACCCTGCAGAGTTAATATCTTGAACTGCCCTCTTTGGCAAGTATCACAGCTTGTAAACGCTTTTTGTAGCCAGCCAAGAGTCTTTCAATTCTTGTTAGAGGTATCTTTGCCCATTCTTCCTTACAAAAATCTTCCAGTTCTTTGAGATTTCTGGGCTGTCTGTCACGCACTGCTCTTTTGAGGTCTATCCATAGATTTTCAATTATGTTGAGATCAGGAGATTGTGAAGGCCATGGCAAAACCTTCAGTTTACGCCTCTTGATGTAATCCCCCATGGATTTCGAGGTGTGTTTAGGATCATTATCCATTTGTAGAAGCCATTCTCTCTTTAACTTCAGCTTTTTCACAGATGGCATCAAGTTACCATTCAAAATTTGCTGAAATTTTATTGAATCCATTTTTCCTTCTACTCGTGAGATGTTCCCTGTGCCACTGGCTGCAACACAACCCCAAAGCATGATTGATCCAACCCCATGCATAACAGTTGGACAGAGGTTCTTTTCATTAAATTCTGTGCCCCTTCTTCTCCAAACGTACCTTTGCTCATTCCGGCCAAAAAGTTCAATTTTAACCTCATCGGTCCACAGAACTTGTTTCCAAAATGCATCAGGCTTGTCTATATGTTCATTTGCAAAGTTCGAACGATGATTTTTGTGGTGAGGACGTAGAAGAGGTTTTCTTCTGATGACTCTTCCATGAAGACCATATTTGTACAAGTATCTCTTTATAGTGGAATAGTGTACCACAACTCCAGTGTCTGCCAGATCTTTCTGGAGGGATCGTGCAGTCAAGGGTTTTGCATTGCTTTTTTCTCACAATCCTGCGAGCTGTTCTGTCTGATATTTTTCTTGGTCTTCCAGATCTTGCTTTAACTTCCACTGTTCCTTATGACTGCCATTTCTTAATTACATTCCGAACAGAGGATATTGACATCTGAAAACGCTTTGCTATCTTCTTATAGCCTTCTCCAGCTTTGTGAGCGTCAACTATTTTCAGTTTCAGTTTTCTAGACAACTGCTTATAAGAACCCATGGTGCTGATTGTTGGGGCAAGGTCAGATGAGTCTGGGCATTTAAAACCTTTGAGATTGACATCATCTGGTCTTCCCAGACGATGATTGAGAACAATCCATGACACTGGCAGGTCTCAGCTTTGCAAAGGGGGCAATGCATGCTATAAATTCTGCAGGGTGCCCAAACTTTTGCAGACGCCATTTTTTGTTTTCTGTTATTTTGAAAGTGTAAATGATGGAAATAAAATCTAACTTTTGTTGACATATTATAAGAATGTCTAATCTGTAATTTGATGCCTTTTGGAGATTTTTCCATCTTTCCTTGGCTTCTTTATGCACATTAATACAAATTTTTAGCTGGGGTGCCCAAACTTTCGATCCCCACTGTGTATGTGTGTGTGTGTGTGTGTGTATGTATATATATGTGTATGTATATATATATGTGTGTATGTATATATATATATATATATATATATATATATATATATATATATATATATATTTTTTTTTTTTTTAAATATATATTTTTTATTACTTTTTTTTAAGATTTTTTTTTTTTTTTTTTCATATTTCACTATGACCAAATGACCAAAGTATAGTACAATGTTACCATAGTAACATTGTACTACATTGGGGAAGTGATCAGTAATTTTTTTTTTTTTTTTTTTTTTTTACACAATTTGCTTATAGAAAAGAATTACTTTGCTATAAGCAAGCATTTACCTGAATGACATCGATTCATTCAGGGTTTTTTTTTTTTTTTTTTTTTGTGCTTAGCTGTGATTTGGCCACAGCTAATCGCATGACATGTGCATGTGATTAGCTGTGACCATTCACAGCTAGACACTAGTATACAATGGATGGCATGAATGAAGCCATCCATTGTATACAACTGTCGTGTCCCTGCTGTGATTGGTCACAGCAGGTCACATGGTACCGGCAACGGGGGCCAGTACTCAGATCTGTCATCGGCCGTGTCCGAGGTACACGGCTGGTGACAGATTGCACGGCTCTGCAGGAGCGCAATCTGCGCATGTGCGGGAGGACGCCATATGGCGTCCACCCGGAATGCTAATGACATTTGCCGGCCGTCATTCGGCTATAGGGCGGGCGGCAAATGGTTAAATTTGTTGGGCGCATTTCCAATTTAGCCTTGGACATAGAAATGTCTTTTCCATACTCACGGATTTTGGTAACAGATGCCAGCCTCACAGGCTAGTGAGGAGTGTTCCAGTCTCTCACTGTTCAGGGAACCTGATCCACAAAGGAAACCAAGCTCTTCATCAACATTCTGGAACTTGGAGCAATAATATTAACTTTGCGTCACTGGTCACCCCTTCTTCATGGACACCTGATAAAGATGCAATCAGACAATGCTACAGCAGTGGCCTATATAAATCATTCTGGGATACCATGAGTCAGACAACCTTAAAAAAAAAAAAAAAAAAAAAAAAAAAAAAAAGTCTGAGCCTCTCTTGGTCCGAGAACCACTGTTTTGACTATTTATCCAATTTATTATGGAAACTTCCCACTGCTGTCGATCACAGCGAGTAAGGAGGGAGTGAGTGGCGGGGTTGAGCCATGCGCTGTGTGTCTGTGGACACACAGAGTGGGTCTCGGGAGCGAGCACGCAAGAGTACCCTCCATAGCAAGCACTCTGTCCTGTAAAAGTCACCCTTTGAGCCCATAGTGAATTTCCTGTGGGCATTCTCTACTCCTTGATGCCTATCACATCTGTCAGACATGTTTCTGAGTTAGTAGTATGTCTTGTAAAGAGCCCTTTCTGATTCTTCACAAGGATAAGTCGGATGATGGAGATTAATATTCAGATGTGCAGGATAAGAAAGGTGAGGGGGGTTAATATACAGATCGCTACACAAACAGGGATTCCAGATATATGGCTGGGGGAGGGTTAAAAACTATTGACAACCTTACATATATGCTGTAAGTGCTGCTGATCTGAAAATAATGAATTGATAAGTCCCTAATTCAATAGTTCCTTCTTTCCTTTTTTACGTTTGTAAGAAAGGAGTGGGCTCACTAATTTAAACAATACACTGTTTGTGAACTCGTTTAGTCATCACAGTGATCACATGGTACAGAAATACTTAGGTCAGCCCTGTTCACAATCTCTGAATGAGGGATCGATCTCTCATCTGAGAATTGCTTGGTTCACAGCAATTAATGGGCACACTGGCTACCCAAGGGTGATTTTTTTTTTACAGTACTGTTTATAAATGTCACTGCAAGTGACGGTAGGTAACAGAAGGTAAGTGGTCAATTGCTTACCCAAATAGATTCATATTAATAGGGTTGATAATCCCTGGAGGTGTATGTAACATGGACCATGATTTAGCATTGCTGGAAGATTGGTCAAAAAAGTGGAAATTTCAGTTCAATGTTTCTAAATGTAAAATAATGCACCTAGGGAAATACAATTCCCTGGGATTGTACAACATTTGGGGGTACGGTTTTGGCCAGCACTTCAGAGGAAAAGGACTTGGGGGTACATATTTCAGATGATTGCAAAATGAGCAAACCGTGTGACCAGGCAGTGGGGAAAGCGAATAGAGTTCTAGGATGCATCACTATAGGGGTCACCAGAAGGAGGAAGGATGTCCTGATTCCCTTATATAGATCTTTAGTTAGACCTTCTATAGAATACTGCGTCCAGTTCTGGAGACCTCACTTATAAAAAGATATTAAGATAGAACGAGTCCAGAGACGGGTATCAAAAATGGTGAAAAGGTCTGGGGGATAAAACATATCAAGAGCGACTTCAGGAACTTAACGTACAGTCTGGAGGAAAGAAGGGGAGACATAGTTACATAGTTAGTCTGGCTGAAAAAAGACAAAAGTCTGTCCAGTTCAAGCATTAAAAAAAAAAAGTTATAATCCTTTACCCACAGTTGATCCAGAGGAAGGCAAAAAACCCAGCAAAGCATGATCCAATTTGCTCCCGCAGAGAAAAAAAAATTCCTGCTTGATCCCCCAAGAGGCAATCTGATATTCCCTGGATCAACTTGACCTATAAATGTTAGTATCCAGTTATATTCTGTGTATCTAAGAAAAAATCCAGGACTTTTTTTGAAGCAATCCACTGAGCTGGCCAGAACCAACTCTTGAGGGAGTCTATTCCACATTCCATACCTCATCAGTTTGGTTGCCCTTCTCTGTACTTTCTCCAGTACATGATTGAAACATTTAAATACATCAAGGGAGTGAATAAGGTGCAGGAGGGCAGTATATTCAACAGGGGGACATGACCTTAAACTAACTGGAGGAAAGTTCAAAACTGTGATGGGAGTCACTTTGGGTGGGGAGGCCCATGGAACACAGCTCACTTTTGGAGGGATGGGGAGACCCCTGTCTCAGCTCCCCATATCCCTATTATGTGTAAGTCACCCTGTGCCTCTTAGGGGTGCAGGGTGATGTCCTAATATTGTGTACATATGTATAGGTGGGGGGGGGGGGTTGTTTATTGTTTAATGCCACGTGGTTGTATCCCATTGTTCTATTATGTGTCTTGCTTGGGAGCAAACTATTATGGGATGTATGTGTTTGTGTGTTGGCTTGGTGGGGGGGTGTTTGCTGATGTGTTGCTAGATGTGGTTTGACCCGCCCTGTGTCATTATGCAGGGAGGGGGGGAATTGTTCCCTTGAATGTATATATCTTGTATCTGTGTTTAAAATAAAGCAGTCTATTTCCTGATTTATTTCAAGACTGGTCTTGTCTAGTCTTGTATGGTCAGCAGTGGTGTCCGTGGATCTGTGTTCAGACAAGGAAGCGGGAGTCTAACGGAAATACCCTTGTGCAGACGGGGGTCCGATTCCGTTACAAAAACTAATCTCACAAAGTACTATTTTACTGAAAGAAAAGTTGATGCATAGGTCGTGAGCCAGTCAACAGCAAATAGCTTCAGTCATGCTTGGGACAAGCATAGAGCTATACTCAGGCAAAAAAAGTTAACTAAAAAAAAACAAAAACGGGCAGACTCGATGAATTCCCCTTTTTTTTTTTTTTTTTTTTTTTTTGTCTTTGTACTGAAAATCACTGATTTGGGACAGTTCTGGTTTTTTTGGGTTTTTTTGTAAACTCCATCTGCACCAATATTCATAGATTTCATATTGTTAGTCTGTGTTTTACATCTGTCTGTTTCTTTTAGATTTCACTGGGTGAAGCCTTGATGACAGCAGGGGCTCAGCTGACAGAGCTTGATCTGAGTGACAATGCTTTTGGTCCAGATGGGGTGCGAGGGTTTGAGGCGCTACTCAAAAGCCCTGTGTGCTTTACCCTGCAAGAACTGAAGCTCAACAACTGTGGCATGGGTATTGGTGGAGGAAAGGTAACTAAATTTTAATAAATTTAACCACAGTGTTGGTTTGTATGTCTGTCATACTACAAATCTTTGCATGTGGTGCCCCCATTTCCTGATTTAGCTTTTAATTTTCTTGTGTGAGCTTTCCACCAAAAATCACTGGTTATACGTAGAAATAACATCTCCTCAGCGAGCTGAGAGGTGACCGAGGAAGAAGTAGAATGAACTGTCAGGCTAGATGAAAATTGCCAGCAGTGTGCAAGCCATAAGACTGGCTACACAGGGTCACAAATCCTTTGGTGGATAAATCAGTTCACATATACAGTATGTTATTTAATTGTACAGGACAAAGGCCCCTTCAAATCTTCACCAGGGGTTATATGCTGTGAGTTTTAGGTGAGGACACTAGCAAGCAGAGTTGTTAGGACAACCCATATAACCCCTCCCACTCTGAAATCCTCAGCTGTTTGCTAGTGTTCTTAGGTCATGGACATCCTCTTCACTGAGAGCAGGTTTTTGGTTTGAAGTGGTTGTAAAGGCTTTAGGTTTCTTCTGTGTGCAGCATACCCCCAGCCCCCTAATACTCAAGCCCCATTTTGATCCAGCGCACTGGAGTTTCAGCTATCCCGGGACTCCCTCTTCTCATTGGCTGAGAAAGCAGCAGGAGCCATTGGCTCCTACTGCTGTCAATCACCGCCAGTGAGCCAATGAGAAAAAAGGGGGCGAGGCTAAGCAACGGCTCAGTGTGTGAATGGACACACGGAGCAGCGTCTGGGGAGTGCGTATGCTCAGGTGCCACCATAGCAAGCTGCTTGTGTAGGGGCGCCTGTCAGGAGGGAGGGGCCAGGAGCGCCGGCAGGGGACACGAGGGAGGATCCGGGCTGATCTGTGCAAAACCACTGCACACAGCAGGTAAGTATAGCCGTGCTATTCATTTAATGTATTTTTTTTTTTTTTTTTTAAATTAAACCTTTAGAAACACTTTAATATTCTGACGATATTGGAAGATTGAAGTCTTTGGTTCTTCACATGTAGAATCCCTTCTCTCCTTGGTTGCCTTGACACCACTACAGCAATAGGATTGCAGCTTTGGGATCGGTCTCTCCCTGGGGAACTGTACCCGAACTCCCGCCATATGGAATAGGCATGGTTGGCCCATAATGTTGCCTCTGGCACTGGACTCTGCATTTGGCACTCACTCTTTGTATTTGCACTACTGCATAGATTGTTTGGCAAACTTCCTGCACAAAAATTCTCACCACCTCCTCATTTCCCTACAGACATGCAGTATCCTCTGGCTGTGAACTGAGTCTGCATAGACAGTTTGCAAGAAAAGCCTGGAAAGGATTCCTTTTTTTGGAGGCTGACTCTTTAGTTAGTCACTAGACAACTTTACTAAGGAAGTCATGGCCAGAAACAGCACTCTCCTACCCAGTAAGAAGAAATCTCTGTGGTGCCCGTGAAATTACGGTTTCGGAAGACATACTTTAATCCCTTCCAGACATTCGCTTCAAAAGTCAAGTCTACCACACAGTTATGTTGCAAGTACTGGCTGGCCAAGCCAGTAAGTCTGGCACAAAGTTGTCCTCACAATGGAGAGCCCCCATAATTACAATCCCAAAAATATTAGGCTGCTGTATAAATGCTACATAAAACAGAATGCAATGATTTGCAAATCTGTAAACCCATTTTATTCACAAAATCAGAAAACAAAATTTTTAGAAACAATAAGAATTTTTAAAATTGGTGGCAGCAACAGGTCTCAAAATAGTTGGGACAGGACCATGTTTTCCACAGTGTAGCATCCCCATTTTTAACACTCTATGAAAGTCTGGGAACTTGAGCAAATCAGTTGCTGGAGTTTTGGGAGAGGAATGTTGTCCCATTCTTGCGTGATATAGGATTATAACTGCTCAAGTGTCCTGGGTAGTCCTTGTTGCATTTTTTTATTTTCAAGATGTGCCACATAGTTTCAATTTGTCTTGACTGCAGGCAGACCAGTTAAGCACCCAGACTCTTATACTATGAAAACATGCTGTTGTCATAGATGCAGTATGTGGTTTAGCATTACAGTAATACCTCAGTTTACGAATTTAATTCATTCTGAAGGAAAATCGTAAACCAAAACACCCTTTCCCATAGAAATGCATTGAAAACCAATTAATCCATTCCGGAGGTCAGAAAAAAAGAAAACTGTACTAAAATACTGCACGAGTTATTTTATTAAGTCATGCAGTATTTTACTAGTGACAACCATGTGTTAATGCTTCAGCTGTCAGCGGGGTTTCCCACTGACAGCTGAATGCAAATGAATTGATGGCAATTAAATATAATAATTTAGAAAAACGGCATGGGGTTCCCCCTCCCATCCATCCCAAGCACTTCGGGTCTGGTATGGATTTTGAGGGGAACTCCCGCGCCAAAATTAAAAAAAAAAAAAAAAAAAAAAAAAAAATGGCGTGGGGGTCCCCCTCCAAAATCCATACCAGACCCTTATCTGAGCATGCAGCCCGGCAGGTCAGGAAAGGGGGGGGGGGGGCCAGATCCCAACCCCCCCCCCCCCACAACCACCGGCCAGGGTTGTGGGGAAGAGGTCCTTGTCCCCATCAGCCCTTCGGGTCTGGTATGGATTTTGGGGGGGAACCCCACGCCGTTTTTTTTTTTTATTATGGTGTAGGTTTTTAAATGTAATTACTGTGTTTTTTGTTTTTTTTTTTCTTCACTATAGCTCAGAAATTCAGCTGTCACTTCCCCCCAGCTAAAAGAGAGAGAGTTTTTCTTTTAGTTTATTTCCCCCAAGTTAAAAGAAACCATGTTTTCTTTTAGTTTCCTAAAAGAAATAAAGTTTCCTGTAACTACAGGGAAAGTGGCAGCTAATCTTGTGAGTTATAGTGAAGAAAAAAAAGCCTGCAATTGCATTTAAAAATCAGCACCAACATACACTTTTTGTATTGCAAATAAAAATTGTAAAAAATTCATAAACCGAGGCATTATTTTCAGTGGATTTTCATTCGTAAACCGAAAATTACGTTAACCGAGTCATTTGTAAACCAAGGTATTACTGTATCTTGCTGACATATGCAAGGCCTCCCCTGAAAAAAAATAGTCATCTGGATGGGGGGATATGCTGCTCTAAAACCTGGATATATCTTTCAGCATTGATGGTGCCTTTCCAGATGACTTTTTTTTCAGGGAAGGCCTTGCATATGTGATGTACTCCCATAACCTCAGAGATTCAGGCTCTTAAACTGATGGCCTATGATAACAATCTGAAAGGTCCCTCCCCTCTTTAGTCCAGAGGACGTAGTGCCCATGGTTGCCAAAAAGAATGCCAAATTTCAATTTGCCAGACCACAGAACAGGTTTCCACTTTGCAACAGTACATTTTAAATGAGCTTTGGTCCAGAGAAGATAGTGGCGTTTCTGGATGATGTTCAGATATGGTTTCTTCTTTGCATGATAGAGCTTTAGTTTGCATTTTTGGATGGCACAGCGTACTGTGTTTAGACAGTGATTTTTAGAAGTATCAGCCCATGCAGTGGTGTCCATCACAGAATCATGCCAGTTTTTAACGTGGTATTTGAGGTCCGGAAGATCACGGGCATCCAATATTGCGTTAGGGTCTTGTGCACAGGGATTTCTCCAGATTATCAGAATCCTTTATTATTTACAGTAGATATATTTTAAAGTGATTTTAAAGGTTCAGATATTTTTATTTAATAACGAACATGTCATACTTACCTGCTCTGTACATCTCCTCATCTTGGGTCCCCCGCCAGTGCTCCTGGCCCCTCCCCGTGCTAAGTTCCCTCACAGCTCGGGAGCAAGCATGCATGAGTGTCCAAAGAGCAAGATGCGTGCGTGCTTGCTCCTGAGCTGCCTATGAAACACACAGTGTGGCTCAGCCCTGCCCCCACTCCTTCACTGTGATTGACAGTAGCAGGAGCGAGTGGCAGAGGCTGGGAGAGCTTCTGCCTATAGTGCACATTGCTGGATCTGGATCAGGCTCAGGTGACTATAAGGGAGGCAGCTGAGAGGGGAGCTGCACATTGAAGGTTTTTTACGTTCATGCATAGAATGCATGGAGGTAAAAATCCTTCAACCATTAGAACCATTTTTAAAGTCTTTGCAATTTTATGCTAAGGAACATTATTCTGAAATTTGTTCAACAATTTTAGATGCAGGTTTTCACAGACTGATGAAAAAATCAGAACATAAACTCACAGTGGGCCACATATGTCCCTTGGGTCCAGAGTTGTGAGGATTAGTTCATCTCTTTTAAGTAACGGGCCATAGTTTTAAAATGTACCCAAGGCCTCCTTGATGGTCAGATTTTTTTCTTCTGTATTGTGTAGGTTGAAAATCATAAATTTTCAAGTACCACATTTGTTTTGTTGGCAGGTTACTTTTCATAAGAGGATGCAAACTGTTGCAGCATTTAGTAAATTAATTGTCAAGTTAGCCTTACATCTCTGTACAGTTCTATTAGTCATATGGCATAAGCAAGGTTTCAGGTGAGGCTTTTGATGGCATCTGTGACCTTGGTCCAGAATGGCTTCATTTAGGGTATGACCAGAAGAATGTGTGTCATTGTACCTGGTTCAACATCACATCGCCAGCATTCGTCTGCAATTTAACTGTTTATTCTGTGTAATAACATGAGGAACTCTAGTATCTGGCTAGGATTTGATACCCTAGTTCCCCAAATTTGTTTGCTATTAAAGATTTATGGGTGGAATACAGGATACCTTCGCATTTTTGTCAGTTGAGTGTGATAGCCAAATTCCTCTCCATTTCATCAGAAAAGGAGGGTTGTGTTCCCCCTCTGGTGAAGACACACGTTTTTATATCAGACTGCAGAAAAAAAATCTGAGTGTATACCCAGCTTTGGGGTAGTAAGTTAACTGTGAAGTGCTTTTCGTATTCGGAGCTGTTGGCATTACCCTATATCTAATGACGCACTCTGAGTAAACTGTTGGGCTGAGTAGCAGAAGCTACATCGCTCATTTGCATTGCTGAGGGCCTATAAAATTCCCATTGGTTTCTTTGGAGGAGGGGGGATAACAAGGAGTGCCAACCTCCAATGGGTACAGCGTCACTCACTGTCTATGCTCTTTCTTGCTATAGAGCACTGAGGAAGCTCTCCCCACTGTGGCTCCTGATTTATAAGGAGCCACCTGGAATTCTTGGCTGCACTGCCATCTGACCTTTTACCTTCTATCACCTTTCTGGGTTTTGTGAATATCTGAGGCCTTGCCCCATGCCATACGTTTGTGTAGCATTGTGACTGTGCTTAGAAACAAACCTATTGCGACTGCATAGCAGAGGGAACAGCTCTATTGAGTCACCGGTCTTATACTTCTAGATCATGCAAGACGTTTTAGCCCAAATAACTAAGTTCTTGATTCTGGTCATAGGCTTGCTTGTCAATGTGCTTCCACACATCTTCCTCACCCGCCTTAACAGGGAGACCACTAGGGCAGTGGAGAGCAATCCTTCTATCATAGGTCTCTTCATAGGTGGACAGTGCCCTTTGCTCTGTTCTAGCTGTGACCTTAATTTGTTAAACCGTGTCAGAATGGTCAAAATCCCTTAGAAGAGATCCCTTCACCGTGGCAGTGGATCCTTTACTGATTTGTGGGGCAGATGACTGAAGCACTGTGCTTCAGCTGTGATAGCCTGCTGAAAGCATCTCCGCTTGTCTCCCGTATAGGTTTTTTTGTCAATACACTGCTGGGCTGCTGGCACTGCATCCAAGGATTGCCTGATCTGCCTTGTCTTCTAAAGAACATTGCCTTTTCAAACCAACCCTTGACTTTATTAAGGGTATTACCAGAGCCAGCAGCGTCAGGGTAAGAAGTCTGGAGAAAGGCCTGCTAAGTCTTTTTCCTTTACTGTGGGAATATGCAAGTGTAGGCCTCACAAATTTTGTAGTTAATTGTCTGTTGGTAACCCTCTTCGAGACACTTCTCTTGCTCCAATCTCTTCCCACAGTATCTCAGCTCTTCACTCTGTTGTTGTGAGTCAAGTTGGCTCAGGCTCTGAGCAAACCAAACTGGCTCAAACAAACTATTTGCTTTGCAGAACAATGTTACCGTTCAATAAATCCGTTAACACAGCTCTTCCTCTGATCGGCTGAAGCATAGAGGTGGGCGGATGATGTCATGATCTTTACAACGGCCAGTCAGAGAGAGCCTTGTATTCACTGATAAAAATACAAGGCTTCTCCATAATCGCAGAGAAGCATTAAGGCTGACTCATTTATACTCTGCAGCAGACAGGAAGGCACCCAGACTGGTGCCAGAACACAGTACCACTTACTGTATGTAGCTATTGCTACTACGATCTACTATGGCACACCCAGCAGCCACATTGTTCTATAATGGAAATTGTTTGTTTGGGCCAGCTTGGATCAAACTAAAGTGACAAACGTATAATTCTATTTTAAAGGTATGGCTAGTGTATAGAATTTTGAAACTAGGTTTTCTGTGGTTTAGATAGTAACAGAAACTAGTGATTTTGCACCTGTGAATTATGTTGATAATTTCTGTTAAATGTGTTTTTAACTTTATTTGCTATGTTGCTTTCAGATTCTAGCTGCTGCCCTTATAGAGGCCCACAGAAAATCAAGTTCACTTGGCAAACCATTGGCTTTGAAAATGTTTGTTGCCGGAAGAAATCGTTTAGAAAATGATGGGGCTACTGCTTTAGCAGAAGCTTTTCAGGTATGCTCCATTTTCATAGTAAAGATTACATTTTTGTTTATGGGCCTGTGTCCACTGGCTTTTGTTTACATTGGAACTACTTCTCTTCCAGTGTAAGTCATAGAAAATTCAAAAGTAGGATGATGTAGCTTGAAAGGAGTTGAAATGCAAGTTATTAAGAGTTCAGATGCTGCATTTGCCAATTAACTGCAGAATGCTCTTGACAGCAGGCAGCATTTGCCCATCAACATAAGTCCAAAACCTGTTGACACATGGCCTGAAAATGTTCCCAATCTTTTTTTTTTTTTTTTTTTTTTTTTTTTTTTTTTTGGGCCCCCCCTATATTCACCTTCATGTGGTTATGTTTGCAGCTCATCGGAACCCTGGAAGAAGTACATATGCCTCAAAATGGCATTAATCATCATGGAATCACTGCATTGGCTGAAGCTTTTAAATTCAACCCATTACTGAAAGTCATGAACCTTAATGATAATACATTTACAGACAAGGGAGGCATGCTATGGCTGAGGTAGAGATCTCTCTCTCTCTCTCTCTCTCTCTCTCTCATCTCTCTCTCTCTCTCTCTCTCTCTTCTCTCTTTCTCTTTCTCTTCTCTCTTTCTCTTTTTTCTCTTTTCTTTTCTTTTCTTTTCTTTTCTTTTTCTTTTCTTTTCTTTTCTTTTCTTTTCTTTTCTTTTCTTTTTCTTTTCTTTTCTTTTCTTTTCTTTTCTTTTTTTCTTTTCTTTTCTTTTTTTCTTTTCTTTTCTTTTCTTTTCTTTTCTTGCGATAACGTGTGTTTGGGTTTCACAGACTTTGAAGACACTAAGACAAGTGGAGTATATTAATTTTGGGGACTGTTTGGTGCGATCTAAGGGAGCATTAGCCATTGCATCTGCCCTGAAAGGGGGATTACATAAATTGAAGGTAGGTTTTTCACAACAGCTTCACTTTGTTAGCATTAATTAAAACCGTGACACTGTTGGTGCATGCACAATTACATCTGTTGCAGATATGGAGCGACTGCATGTTGAATTCATTATCCATGTAGCAATAACAGATACTACATGAAAGATCTATTAATCCCAAATCCAACATTTATTATATTACAGCTTACCAATGTGATGGCTCGCTAGTTTTAGTCTTTCTTTCCTTTATTTTCACTTGGTGCTCCTGACAGTCTTTTGTTTTTCAACAGACCAAACTCTCTTGCAAATGTAGCAGCTAGCCTGGGTTCACACTGATGCGGTGTGGAATTTGCAGCATTTTCTGTGCGAATTCCGCTTCAGAATCGTACCCCGTTCATGCGAACCACTGCAGGTGTGTATGTTAAGTTAACAAGACCTCCAAGTCGGTATGCAAAATGCGTTCCTGCACCATTTTGGTGCGGATGCGGTGTGATTTGAGCTATACAAAAATGTATTGCTCCAATTTCACCGCACACAATTCACATGTGATTTGCACAGGAATACAGTGCAGTTCCTATGCATCACATGTGTTATACCGCAATGCATATGTGTGAACCCAGCCTCAAAAATAAACCATTTGCCACTGGCAGGGATGTTTACATAAATCAGCTTTTATTTATTCATGTAAAACCTTTATCCCAAAAGAAAAGTAAATGAATTCAGTCAGCACATCTAAGCATTGGTAAGCTGCAATATATATTACATTTTTTAGTTTTGGGTTTAATACCATGTTATGTTTTTGTTTGTGCAAATTCAACCTTTCGCAATCTTTTCAATGCAGAGGAACCCTTAAAGTAATTTTTAGCAGGGGTTTCCTGAAAACAGAAAAGTTATTTCATTTGCAATTCAAGGTACATTAGTGAGATGATCAATGGGAAGAATGTTCCTTACACATTGTGGTCACTGGGAAGAATTACCTCCTTATAGTTAGCTGAAAAGATCAGTGGGAATGTATCTGAGAGGGAGAAATTGCTTATTGCTGTGGAAACCCCTGGAGGAACCCTGGTTGAGAAACCACTAATTAGTATGCCATTAATTCAGGACTTATCCACTCATGACAATTTTTTTTGTTTTTTTTTTGTTTTTTGCTTTTTATCAGTTAAAATTACAACTATAGTGAGATATCCACTGGACCTAACTCAGCTGTTCTTCCATACCTTCCATAAGAAAATTACAGTGATGCTGTAAAATAATGGAAGCCTTGAAAAAGAAATCTAAATGATAGCTGTGAAGACCAGTCACTGTAGATTCACTAATGTGAGTAGTTTTCAGAAATAATAGAATTAGGCCAAAGTCCTTTTTTTGTTGTTGTTTTCCATAGATCGGGGCTTAAAATTTCCACTCGCCTGCTGGCATTTGGCGAGTTGAAATAACATGGGGGGCGAGTGTTCTTGTTGGCTACTCCTTGCCCATTACTGACCGCTCCTGCACCTTCTATCACTCCATTTTCCCTTTTACCTATCAACTGTGCTGTATGAGGTTCTCCCGCCTCCCCTAGTACTTGTGTCCTCTAGCTTGTCTAGCTGTCTGTATCCGATGGCCACTCCAGCGTCAGATGTTGCTATGGTGATGTTGAGCGCATGCACACCCCCTCACACAACCTCCTCTCTGCTCCCGGGACCGGAAGACAGACTTACTGGGATCCCAGAGAATGGGGACGGACTGGAGGTGCAGGCAGCCAGGGACCGCTCCATCTCACATCACATAGATTCACTGGAAGGAGTAGAGCACCTCCCGTCCTCACCAAGAGCAAGACCAGACCCTTCCCGCTGCTGGCTATCATGCACATCCTGCTGGCATGGAAGGTATCATACTGAGCATCACACACACCTTATCACACACAGCAGATGGGTACTGGGACAAGGAGGCACAGGAGGAACTGCAGACAGGGTCAGGCTAGTGGTCTCTCACACCCCCCCTCTCTATGACTCCCCTCCCGCTCTCTCTCACCCCCTCTCTCTGACCCCCCCCCCCCCCCCCACCCCTCTCTTTGAAATTGAGGTGCCTGGATTTTAATCCATGGACACCTCCACCCTTAACTGAAAGTCCAAGGACCTCGGTGTCTCCACGACCATGCAATAGTTCTACTTCATTCCTCCTCCACTGAAGCGTGCAGCATGTATGATGGTGGAGATGCTGAGATTCCCTGGATTCTCAGTTAAGGCTGGAGGTGTGCGCACTTCAGTGTAGGAGGAATGAAGTGGGACTATTGCATGGTGGTGGAGACTCCAAGGTTCCCTGGATTTTAATTGGGAGTAGTAGTAGTGCCTTAAGTTTGGTTTCAGTGGAAAGAATAACACATCAGCGTTTGCATCAGGGGGAGGAATTATACCCTGTCATTGGTATCAGTAAAACGGAACAGTGCCCCATGCTTGGTGTCAGTGGGATGGAATAATGCCCCATGCTTGGTGTCAGTGGAAGGAATAGTACCCCACGCTTGGTGTCAGGAGAAATTAGTACCCCTTGATTGGTGCAAGTAGAGAGGAATAGTGCCCCATGCTTGGTGTCAGTGGGAATATTAGTGCCCCATGCTTGTGTCAGTGGGAGGAATAGTGCCCCATGTGCTTGGTGTCAGTGGGAATAATATAGTGCCCCATGCTTGGTGTCAGTGGGAGGAATAGTGCCCCATGCTTGGTGTCAGTGGGAGGAATAGGCTTGGTGTCAGTGGAGGAATAGTGCCCCATAGTGTCAGTGGGAGGAATAGTGCCCCATGCTTGGTGTCAGTGGAAGGAATAGTACCCCACGCTTGGTGTCAGTGGGAGAAATAGTACCCCTTGATTGGTGCAAGTGAGAGGAATAGTGCCCCATGCTTGGTGTCAGTGGGAGGAATAGTGCCCCATGCTTGGTGTCAGTGGGAGGAATAGTGCCCCATGCTTGGTGTCAGTGGGAGGAATAGTGCCCCATGCTTGGTGTCAGTGGGAGGAATAGTGCCCCATGCTTGGTGTCAGTGGGAGGAATAGTGCCCCATGCTTGGTGTCAGTGGGAGGAATAGTGCCCCATGCTTGGTGGTCAGTGGGAGGAATAGTGCCCCATGCTTGGTGTCAGTGGGAGGAATAGTGCCCCATGCTTGGTGTCAGTGGGAGGAATAGTGCCCCATGCTTGGTGTCAGTGGGAGGAATAGTGCCCCATGCTTGGTGTCAGTGGGAGGAATAGTGCCCCATGCTTGGTGTCAGTGGGAGGAATAGTGCCCCATGCTTGGTGTCAGTGGGAGGAATAGTGCCCCATGCTTGGTGTCAGTGGGAGGAATAGTGCCCCATGCTTGGTGTCAGTGGGAGGAATAGTGCCCCATGCTTGGTGTCAGTGGGAGGAATAGTGCCCCATGCTTGGTGTCAGTGGGAGGAATAGCTTGGTGTCAGTGGGAGGAATAGTGGCCCATGCTTGGTGTCAGTGGGAGGAATAGTGGCCCATGCTTGGTGTCAGTGGAAGGAATAGTGCCCCATGCTTGGTGTCTGTGGAAGGAATAGTGCCCCATGCTTGGTGTCTGTGGAAGGAATAGTGCCCCATGCTTGGTGTCTGTGGAAGGAATAGTGCCCCATGCTTGGTGTCTGTGGAAGGAATAGTGCCCCATGCTTGGTGTCTGTGGAAGGAATAGTGCCCGATGCTTGGTGTCTGTGGAAGGAATAGTGCCCCATGCTTGGTGTCTGTGGAAGGAATAGTGCCCCATCATTGGTGTCTGTGGAAGGAATAGTGCCCCATCATTGGTGTCTGTGGAAGGAATAACGCCTCAGCTTTGGTATCACTAGTGCCTCAGCATTGGCGTCCCTAATGATGTAAAGCTCTCATTTTCCTTTTATGTTTACATTGCTTTATGCTAATATTGTTAAATGTGTTGTTAATATTTAATTTAAAGTAACTTTATTTTGCATAAAACATTTAACAGTGTCATTTCATGAGATTTTGAGGGCATGTTTAGGGACGCAAGTAGGGGTGGGGAAGGGTAGGGGTTGGGTATGGCAACTGGTGACGAGTAACTCTTAAGGCCTGGCTAGTAGCTCAGGACTTGAAATTTTGAGCCCTGCTTTATTCTAAAGAAAATTTTAATTTCAAAAGCTTTAAGGGGGCGGGGTTGGGGGATGGGTCGGCGGTGGTGTTGGGGGATGGGTCGGCGGTGGTGTTGGGGGATGGGCCGGGGGGGGGTTGGAGGCAGACCTGGGCAAGGTTGAGTGGGGCAACTGGTGGAGAGTAAGGTTTGTGCCTGGCTAGTAGGTCTAGACTCGAAATTTTAAGCCCTGCCTTAGATGTAGCTTCTCTGTGATCAAAAGCATCCATCTCGTGCAGCAAATATAAAAACGAGGAGGACTCAGAAAAGTATTAAAAGGTTTCCTCAGCTAGTCTCCATTTTGCATTCTTCAGTTGCTTCCTACAATGACAAGTGGTCCGTTAGACGTGCGAGACACTTCTTTTCTTACAGCCTCCCCTTCCTAGCAACCACTTTGCCGGTCTCTCCCAGTCTTAGTGACGGCAGTTGCTGAGCAATGGCCCCATACGTTCCGCTACGCTCCTCTGCTTGGCGCCCCATTTCTAGGCAGCTGCCCAATGCTACCTATTCTATGTTCCTTTTTCTGATTGTCTGTGGTTCCCTATTTGAGGAGCTTGTGATAGCATTTTCTACTTGGCTCCTTTAACTTCACTTTGCTTGTTTCTGAAAGACTTTTCTTCTTTTTGAATTCTTCTGTTGCTGACCCTGGGTTGGGATAATGCTGATTTGCTGCCTACCGTGAATCTTTCTCTCTGACATTCCAGTCATTCCCATAGCTCACAAATGACCTTGCAGAATGAGGTTTAAAGATCTCATTTGTCAGCTAACACTGCATGTCCCCTGCCAGAATGGCCAGATCAGTTATGCCAAGGACCAATAACACTGTTCAACAGGTAAAAAGTTTTGGGCATAAAATTAGCTAATCTTACATAATTTTGGGGTGCTGAAAACGAAAATGACCCTAAAAAATGTTGATTGGCTCTAGTTTCCATGATATATTCACTCATCTAATGACGTAAGCCATTCAAAATTATGATGCAACTTCAGCTGCATATTGCGCAATTGATACTGGTGACCAATAGAAAATTGCATGTATACTGAGATGATGCGATATTAGCCTTTAATTGCATCACTTCACTGCATAAAAGCTGCAGTATCTGTAGCTGATTGTAGTTCGACAGCGTCTTTACATTTCGTTTTATGCTTATATAGGCTACTCAGTAATGCCTCGAACTTGTGTGAATAAAGCAGATAATTTCTGCTATATCTGCGGTGAAATAACTTTTATCTCACAAAAAAGGAGGATAACAGGAATGATTAAGAAAGCCTACAACTTGTATTTTGGCTGCAAGATAAGAGACCAGGACAAGAGCTGGGCACCACATATATGCTGCAATTCTTGTGGGACGGCACTGGAGCAATGGTTGAATGGAAAAAAGGCATCTATGCCTTTTGCTGTGCCAATGATTTGGAGAGAGCCAACAGATCATGTTAGTAATTGTTACTTTTGTATGGTGCCTCCAATTGTAAAAGGGCTAAATAAGAAGAAAAAGTTATCTGTGCACTATCCAAATATTCCATCGGCAATACGTCCAGTTCCTCATGGAGAGGGGCTACCAATTCCTAAAGCACCAGAATCCTTCGTGGTTGAGTCAAGTGAGGAAGAACCTGAAGCGTGTAGTCACGTGCAGTTGTAAGAGCCCTTTCCTCAAATACAAGAGAAAAGCAAAGAGAAGCAAAACCGACACAAACTGAAGACAAAACTAGTGAGAATCCTAAGTATTAAAATGATTCAACTTGGCTTATGGCTATAATTTTTCTTGGTAATCCTATGCAATATATTATGCCATTTAGGCTTTGTTATGTAGTCAATATCACTTGCTTTATATTTGTGGAAAGACATCTATCTATATAATTATTGTGCATTATGTAGTCATTACGCCTATAGTAGAAAACTTTTCGTTTACAGAAAAACTAGAGCCAATTGACAAATTTCATTGTTATATTTGAACTCAGAATGTGAAATTCATTAAGAAATGGATCCTTTTGTTTCCAAAACTGGCAAAAAATAAAAATTTGTTGAACAGTGTAATCTTTCTTTCCTTCAGTCGGGGGTTGAGCAATGTTTATTCTTGGCACCTTTAACCACTCCAGAGGATATACCCTCCGCCCCTTCCTGACCAGGCCATTTTTTACGATACGGTGCAGCGATACTTTACCTGACAATTGCGCGGTCATGCAACGCTGTACATAAATGAAATTTTATGTCCTTTTGTCCCACAAATAGAGAGCTTTCTTTCAGTGGTATTTGATTACCTGTGCGGTTTAAATATTTTGCGCTATAAACAAAAAAAGACCGACAATTTTGAAAAATTAAAACAATATTTTTGACTTTTTGCTACAAAACATATCCAGTAAAAACCCAATACATGTAAATTAATTGGTTTACATGAAAGTTATAGCGTCTACAAATGGCGGTGTATATATACTGGAATTTTAATTTTTTTTATTCTAGTAATGGCAGCGATCCGCGACTTAGCGGGACTGCTGCAGACATTCTGACACTGGGTGGGAACTGACTAACTGCCACTGACATCCCAATGACACTAATACAGTGATCATTGCTAATAAAAAGCACTTACAATGTACTAATGACATTGGGCAGGAAGGGGTTAACATCTGGGGTGATCAAAGGGTTAACTGTGTGCTGTTTTACATCATGTGCTATGTGTGTTTTACTAGGGAAACATGCTGCTGTTTATTTCTCTGAACAGCAGAGAAATACACAGCAGCATTTCCTTGCTGGCAGGAGAGAGACCTATGTTGTTTACACACAGGTCTCTCCCCTGTCAGTTCTACATGGCGATCGCTGGGTGCCAGAGGGGAATCTATGGCTACTACCTGGTGATTAACTTTCGTAGTAATGTGTAATGGGTAGGGCACACGCGCGTGCACCTTATGTACGTGTGTGTGTATATGTATGTGTGTATGTATATTTGTGTGTGTGTGTGTGTGTGTGTGTGTGTGTATGTATGTGTATATATATATATATATATATATATATATATATATATATGTATGTATATATATATATATATATAAATAATTTTACGCAGCCCTGCCACCCTGTAGCACTAGTTCTACTATAGGGCGGCGGGGAAGCAGTTAAGCGTCAGCTGTCTACCCGGTCTCTTACTACTAATTCTTTTATTTGTATTCAGGTTACACACATTGCTCCCCCTTTTTGGTCCCACTCAGTCCATGGGATCTAAAGGATAAGTTCACATTTTTGGAAGAAATAATGCATGTATTTTTGCTGAAAAATATGTGCATTTACTTTTTTTTTTTGCCCTGCAAAGCAATGTTTGGCTATTTAGCATTTGGCTTTCTGTATTGCCCACCCATCAGTTGAACTGCTTTTGATCGTCCCAATGTACCTTAATTACCATATGCTGTGTCCCTTAAAGTATGATTGTGACAATAGGATTTTTAATTTGCCGTAAAATTCCCTTTCTTGGAATACATTCAGGGACATTGAACCCTCCCATCTGTTCTTACATGTGTTTGTCAGTGTCCAATCTCCTGAAGGCAGCGACATAGCCCAATGTACATTCATTTATCCTGTATCCTTTAATGTACTCCAAGAAAAAGGTTTTAAGGTAAGTCAAAAATCCTTTTTTTTTTCTTTTTTTTTTTTTTGGCACATTAACGGCTACTTTTTCTGTATTTGCAGTGCATTTTAAGGGCCGGTTCACACTACATGCGTTTTCAGTGTGCTTTTTTTTTTTTTTTCTGAATCCAAAATGCAGAGAAAATAGGTTGTGTGGTTGTCAATGTCATAGTTCATATCAGTGCTTGCAGATCCAGTGCGTTCTGGTTGCAGAAAAAAAATGTAGAACACGCTGCATTTTTCCTGCAGTGGAATGCACCAAAACTCACTGGAACACACACGTTCCTATTTAAATTGAAGAAAAAGAGAGGGGGAAAAATGAACCGGAAAGCATCAAAAACACACTGGAATGCGTCAAACGCATAGGAACACGCTAGAAACTTGCATGCAGAAATGCATCTGGACTGCATTTCTATAGTGTGAACCGACCCTAAGAGAGAAAACCTGAAGAATTGTGCCTATATTACAGACACCTTTATTATTTTATGTTACAAAGACTCCTAGTAACCTATATCTGAAAACATAATATAATTAATAATATATATGTATTGAAAAAAAAGCGATTTCTGACAACTCAAGTTTGTGTTAAAAAATATAGTCCTTGCAGACATTGTTTTTAATGCATAGCTTGTACAGGCTTATGAAACATGTTTATCTTTAGGTATGTTTTTGATTTCGGCAGCATTCCTTTGGAAACAACTTGGAAAGCTGCTTCAGAGAAACTAGGTGTTTTTCTCATTGCTGAAAGTGGTTCTAAAGGCAGTTTTATTTTCATCTTTAATGTGTCCTCTGCATTAAGGTAAAAAACCTTTTGTGTTCACCTTTCCCCCAGACTCTTCTAAATACTTACCCGATCCCTATCTCGATCTAGTGCTGTGCCCAAGAGCAGCAGCTCTTTATCCTTACTGGGCATGGAGGCTGCAGCGGGAGCCACGGGCTCTTATTGCTGTTAATGATGGGAAGAGAGCAGGAGGCAGGGCTGAGCTGCGTTGTCTGTTTCCACACGGGTGTCCCCATAGCGAGAAGCTTGCTATGGGGCACTTGGCAGAAGGGAGGAGTCAGGATTGCCGACAGGAGGCTAGAGAAGAGTAGGGTCGGGGCTGCTCTGTGCAAAACCATTGCACAGAGCAGGTAAGTATAAAAAGAAAAAAGAAGTTGACACTTTAAAGGTAGGACAAGAACGTGGATGCTTTCTTGTCTCTGAATCCTGAGTCAGATATACCTCAGCACTCTGTTACCCACAGGTTGGTGAAGTTACTTTCATGTCTGTTCACATTGTTATGCACTATTTGAGCATTCATTTTGATTTTTTTTTTCCTCCTTGTTAGGAACTTAACCTCTCCTTCTGTGAGATTAAGCGTGATGCAGGACTTAATTTGGCAGAATCTGTTGAAGACAAATCTGAGTTGGAAAGACTGGATTTAAATGGTGCATTTGGTCTTCCTTTTAAAAAATGTATCCTTTTAATGTTTTGAAGCAGATATCAGATTGTGACTCCAATGTATGTTTGCATCACAGGAAACAATTTCGGAGAGGAGGGTTGTGAACATATTCAGGAAATTCTGGATGGCTTTAACATGGCCACTGTTTTGGGATCACTGAGGTAGGGGAAATTTAGTATTTTTTTCATTCCTATGTTCTAACCTCAGAAAACAGTCACATTTGAGTATTTTTGGTTATCGTTGTGCTAATGTTTTCTTCCTCCTGGCATAGTAGAGCTGTTGATTTATCCAAAATTTTATGTTGCTTGTCTTTTAAAAATGGTAAAGGTTAGAGTATTGCTGACCTTCAGGCTTAATTTCATTCTTCAGATTCATAGCTTTCTGTAAAAACCATTGCACAGAATACACAGATACACAGAATATAACTGGATACTAACATTTATAGGTAAAGTTGATCCAGGGAATATCCGAATATTGCCTCTCGGGGGATCAGGAAGGAATTTTTCCCAGCAAATGCAAATTGGATCATGCTTTGCTGGTTTTTTTTTTTTTTTTTTTTTTTTTTGCCATCCTGTGGATCAACTGTGGGTATAGGATTATAACTTTAATGGCATCCCAGTCTTACTGGATATTGTGTGTGCTCTCCAGTGCTCCAGTAAATGAATAGCCAAAGGGACAGGACAGAGGTGACCTAAAGATGATGCTTCAGGGGTGCAGCCCTCTTCAGATGGGGAAATCAACCACTAGAAAAAGAGTAAAAATAGGTGGCGCACACACCTAGTACATTATCCAAGATTTATTCAAAGGTATAAAAGACAAAAACATACAGACGAAGCATGTATAAAAAGCTTTTGCATAATGAAGATGTCTACAACAGCGGGCAAGGTGTTCCAACTGTCAGTGCGGTCAAGAGGCTGATGCGTTTCGGGGACGAGTCCCTTTCCTCAGAGCTGCTGACCAGCCTGTATGAATGCCAAGCTATAAATAGCCATGGCTGAATGCCTTGGGAGCAAAGCTCCACCTCCTCTGCGAGTTAGAGGGGGTTATTTAAAGTGCTATATTAGGTTACTTATATGAATACATACATAAATAAGTAAATAAATAAATGCATCATTTGCAAAGATAAAAGTAAAAATAATAATTAAAAAAACTAAGATCATAGAACAAAATGGATTATATATCTGAAGCTGAAAGTGTTGTAATGTGTTGTCGTGTTTTTTTTTTATTATTATTATTTCCACATACTTCCCCTTTTTTTTTCCCGCATTTATTATAATCATTTTTATAACTTTTACTATTTCCAAAAACAAGTTTTTAACATTATGCACAAAAATGCTTCAATTAATATATATTGTCTGCAGCCATATACAACACTTTCAGCTACAGATATATAATCCATTTCGTTCTATGATCTTCATTTTTATTATTATTTTGCTTTTATTCTTATCTTTGCAAATGATGCATTTATTTACTTATGTATGTATTTATATAAGTAACCTAATATAGCACTATAAATAACCCCCCCTAACGAGTAGAGGAGGTGGAGCTTTGCTCCCAAGGCATTCAGCCATGGTTATTTATAGCTTCCTTCCACGACTTGCTTGGGCTCTCCCATCCCACCGGTAGACCTAAACGGCCAGCCAATGCTTCCACTGGCTGGTCGGAGAGCCAAACAAAGCCGGGATCGGCTTTGATTGTCTTTCCGCTATGGTAAGCTGGAAGTGATGAAGTGACTTCACTTCCAGTTTACCCAGATAGCAACCCCAATCTTTGTGTTATGCTTTTTAAGGGCAGAGGATGGATTTGGGATCCCTCCATAAAGAGTACCTGTCACAAGGATGTTTACATTCCTTATGACAGCAATAAAGGTGATTTAAAAATAAACACAACCTTCCCCCAGTGCTTTTGCGCAAAGGCAAACGCAAGCAAACAGCAATAGTCTTAGAGGTGAGGTATCACTTTGAATGTCAGATCATGGGCAGTATTTCTAACACTAGACCACCATTTGTAAATCTAAAATGTAACCTGTAAAGGCTTTTAAAGCATCACCTAAGAACATTTAAATGTCCGTCATATATCGCTGTTGCACAAGTGTGCGCAGTTTTAAAGCATGACATTTGTGGTATCTACTCCGTGTAACATCATGTTTTATATTTTAAAAAAAAGGAAAAGAGTTTGTATTCTCTGATTTAATAGAATACACTTTTTTAATTTTTTTATTTCTCAAAAAAAGGTTTGAAAAACCACTGCACAAACACCGCTTGACAAACAAAATTGCAAAACCCACACCAATTTATTCTCTAGAGACTCTGGGGTTCTAAGTATTTTTCTAGCAAAAAAATACTGATTGTTACATGTGAACAAAAAGTGCCAGAAAAGGCCAAGTCTGGCAGTGGTTATGTAAAGAAGGTCCACACATATAGTCAGCTTGCAAACTACATTAAAGTATAAAGCAAGCCAGTTTTAAAGGGAAACATGTAACCCCTTCACAAATGGCCAGTCAGCTACAACTGCTTCAGTAGCATAAATCACATATGTAGCCATAGTACCAAACTGAGGAAAAAAAACACAACACAGCATAAAGTCTTCTAGGTACTCAACAGTTTCAGAGAAGAAAATGGGAACACTGCTGCAGCTCTGGCCTGATAACTCCACAAGGATTGGCCTGACCTGAAAGCATAGTCTTTGTTAACTGAAACAGTCAGTTACTGCAGAGACAACACCAGTATACTTGATGAACTCTGAAAACCTGCACTTCTTGGCTGACTGGAGAAGCTGCCATTGTCTACTAGGTGGACTGCCGCTATGAACTCTTTTTTTGCCATTCAACAATGAGGAAGCATCTTCCCTTTTTGTATTTTTTGCTTTGCAAAGAGCCAAATGGAACTTTGGTTCACCTACAACCTACCCCGACCTCACACCCTACTAATGTCTCTAGGGAGGTTTTCCTACAGATTGGGCTGATGTCTGAAGCCTGGAATCATGTTGCCCTGCTCCTAGAAACACTGCCATCTTCAGAGTCTTCATTAGCTCATTCTAATGTGACTTAATCCTCTGCCCTTCCAGCTAATTGTATTCACTATAGTTATTCAAGACCTTATCATTCATATCACCCAGTTATTTGCTGACTCTGACTGCAAAGGCCACAAGCACGCTCACGTTACGCTTTTTGCGGATTCTGTATCGCATCGATCCACGACCTCTAAGCCATCAACTGCTGAGCCTGATTCTGCGTCATTCCAGTCTTTACCTGGCAAGCTTGTTTTTTAGAGGTTGCAGTCCTTTGCCATTACTCCCAAATTTAAATGAGACCCTTCATATTTTTTTGATGCAGACCACTATGAAAGGAAAGCATCAGTCTGTCGCTTCTTCCAGTGCTGTTCTCACTTTAAGGCCTTTTAGAGCCCCTAAATCTGCAAAGGTTTTTCTGATGCAACTGTTGTTTCAGATCTTCCTCTAATGAGATTCGAAACATCCTGACAAGCTTTTCACTCCAAGCCCTTATTAGCCTTGTTCTCTTTTGAGGAGAACTTTATAAAGTAGGTCCGTAAATACAGGTGCAGCAACTAAATTTTTACAAACGGATGGAGGGAATGCTAAATGTATCGGAATCTGCTAATATTTCGAACATCCCCCCCCCTTCCTTCCCCCCCCCCCCCCCCCTTCCTTCCCCCCCCCCCCCTTCCTTCCACCCCCCCCCCTTCCTTCCCCCCCCCCCCCCTTCCTTCCCCCTTCCCCCCCCCCCCCTTCTTCCTTCCCCCCCCCCCTTCCCCCCCCCCTCTTCCTTCCCTCTCCCCCCTTCCTTCCCATGTAACCAGGAAAACATCCGGGCTTTGCTTCCCTCTTCAAATTAAGGTAATCCTCAAACTAAAAAGTAAAAGCGAGCGCTAAAACCTAAAGCAGCTGAATACTAAAAAGGTAAACCATATGCCTTCAATAAAATCAGAATAAAAAGGTAGTGCAGCGCTAAGAACAATCTAAAAAGAAATAAATCCAAAACAAAAGTGCAATATGTAAACAAATAGTATAAACGCACATCAATGATGGGTGCGTTATAATTTTTAAAAAACTCGCATACCGATTAAAGGTGTGTCTTGGACTTGCTAATGCATAAATAATGAATAAAGTCAAATAGTAATATGCATAATAAACGTACAAGTCTAAATGCGAAATAATCTCGAAATGTGCTTAAAAATTAAAATTCAGATCTCCAGATGACTCCGTTAGGTCCCAGTGTGCATATAATCCTCAGGTGCATGTGCCAATAAATGTATAAAGTGCGCACTCACCAGATGCGCTAATAAAAAGCGCGTTGTATCAATTATTGTTGATCAGCCACGGGTCCCTTCTAAGGGTAATCCGGGATATAGCCTGGGGTTTGGTGGCCCTCCTCTAAAGACAGGATTGGAGTAGCCAGTAAAGGTAGTTCGGCCTCTTCCATGCGCTGGGACTTTCGCTGGGGATCGTTAGGGAATTAAGGTGCTCAGTGCAGAGCGAAAGAATAGGGATAATCCCATAGTGTAGTATTTTTCAATAGTACTTTAATGTTAATAAGGAATAAATCCAAAAAAACGTACAAATACTGCAGTGTCGGATAGGAGCAATATAGTAACAATTGCACACAAATAAAACTAACCAGCTGGTGTTAGGTGGCCGCTGGACCACCGTGATCCAACAGTTTTACATCAACGGCTTCCAGGGGCTCCTCCTTGACGTGTTTCGCACTAAAAGTACTTTGTCAAAAGAGGTATGCCTTAATGCAGCCTGACGTTTTAACTGTGCTATTTATAACATCTAAATTTGAAAAAAAGCGCCAAAGAATCGCCAGGCGCCATCTTGCCGAAGACCAGCGCATGCGCGGAACCGCGGGTGCCATTTTGCGTTGGTCTGGAGCAAGGTGAATACACGGCCAAGTGACGGCGGCGCATTGCACGTGCGCCATTTTCCCTTGGTTTGGAAAAGGGAAGCAATGCAGATGGCTGTGTGTGCTCATCATCGCAGCCAAGGAGGCCGTTATCTTGGAAATCATAAAAGTAAATGTTTTCCAAGATAACGGCCTCCTTGGCCGCGATGAGCACACACAGCCATCTGCATTGCTTTCCCCTTTCCAAACCAAGGGAAAATGGCGAACGCGCAGTGCGCTGCCATCACTTGGCTGTGTATTCGCCTTGCTCCAGACTAACGCAAAATGGCACCCACAGTTCCGCGCATGTTCACTTGCGCTGGTCTTCGGCAAGATGGCGCCTGACGTTTCTTTGGCGCTTTTTTCAAATTTAGATGTTATAAATAGCACAGTTAAGACGTCAGGCTGCATTAAGGCATACCCCTTTTGACAAAGTTCATTTAGTACGAAACGCGCCAAGGAGGAGCCCCTGCAAGCCGTTGACATCAAGCCGTCGGATCACGGAGGTCCGGCAGCCACCTAAAAACACCAGCTGGTTAGTTTTATTTGTGTGCAATTGTCACTATATTGCTCCTATCCGACACTGCAGTATTTGTATGGTTTTTTTATTTATTCTGTATTACCAATAAAGTACTATTGAAAAATACTACACTATGGGATTATCCCTATTCTTTCGCTCTGCACTGAGCACCTTAATCCCCTAGCGATCCCCAGCGAAAGTCCCAGCGCCTGGAAGAGGCCGAACTACCTTTACTGGCTACTCCAATCCTGTCTCTAGAGGAAGGCCACCAACCCCCAGGCTATATCCTGGATTACCCTTAGAAGGAACTCGTGGCTGATCAACAATAATTGATACAACACACTTTTTATTAGCACATCTGGTGAGTGTGCACTTTATACATTTATTGGCACATGCACCTGAGGACTATATGCACACTGGGACCTAACTGAGTCATCTGAAGATCTGAATTTTAATTTTTAAGCACATTTTGAGATTATGCATTTAGACTTGTACGTTTATTATGCATATTACTATTTGACTTCATTATTTATGCATTAGCAAGTCCAAGACGCACCTATTCATTTACATATTGCACTTTTGTTTTGGATTTATTTCTTTTTAGATTGTTCTTAGCACTGCACTACCTTTTTATTCTAATCCTCAAACTAAACAAGTTGTAGTATACGCACAAACCAACTTGATCATAGACTCCTAAAAAGCATTAGAAATCCAGCCTTGCTGTAGAATATCCCACACTTGCAATAGGGCGGATCTAGGTGACACTCTGCAGCCGATACAGAAGCTAACCTGTTTCAAAAATACCATACCATTTTCATCAGAGATCTGCAGTACAAACCACTTTTCAAAAAATTAACCCTGGACATGAAGAAATACTCACCCCTTATATGTGGTTACAAGATCTATACATTGCCTTGCATGCAATCCTTGATGTGTAATGCACAATAATGAGGTTGCATGTGAATGCATGTTCCCTTGAAACAAGGTGTTCAGTCGCAAATCGATGTGCAATATAATGCAATTGCAGACTGCACAACTGCCGCAATAGGCAGAGGTCAAAAGTATCTAACAGGAGATGGACGATTAAGTACAATGTTCTTACATGATTTGGAATCCTATGTTGAATATACGTATTAATCTCTTGGCTTGAGGAATAAAAAATCTGGCTGTCAATAATGCTGCCGGGCAATACCAAAGATGAAAAGAATCAACTGGGAACGACCGAATGAAGGAACGTCCACTGATTATAAATAATAATAATTTAATCGAATATTCTCTTCATAAGCTGTTATATGACAGTAACAAGTAATTCACATTATGGGGGAGATTTACTACAAATAGTGCACACAGAATCTGGTGCAGCTGTGCTTGGTAAACAATCAGCTTCTAGGTTTGAGGGCTCGTTCACACTTGACTATTTTTCCAACTCTTGCCAAACGCCCCTATAGCGTTTGACAAGCGTTGGTCCGGCATTTGTGGAGCGTTTTTAACGCTCCGCAAACACTGCACCACGGTTTAGCAGCGGTTGCTAGGCGTTTGCCAAGCTTTAAAAACGCCCCACAATGAAGTTTAAATGGTGTTAACGCTCCGCAAACGCCGGCCGAGCGTTTGCAGAGCAGCACCATAGACTTGAAAAGGAGGCTTCAACTCCTCCTGACTCGACCAGAGGCATCCGTTTTGCCGTGACGCAACGCGTTTGAACAGCACCATGTGCTGCAATGTGCAGAATTTTCCCAGGCGTTTGGGAAACAGTAAAAACGCTTCCCAAACGCCTGTCTGCCGCTTGCTAACAAGGCTAGTGTGAATGTAGCCTTATGGTAAAACCTTAATTGAGCACGCTGAAGTGAGAAGCTGGTTTATTACTATGTACTGCTGCACCAGATTCTTTGTGCACCAGTTTTAGTAAATCTCTCCCTATATGTCACCCACACGCATCAGTAATGTATATGAGTACTTACTAGAGTAATAGCCCACTCAGAGTGGTGCATACCGCATTCGCCTATATTCATGTGCCAAAAAGTGTTCCAAATCATTCCATGTATTGGTCACGTTTTTGTGGCGATGCTGCCATTTCCCATAGCAACCAGATGGCAGCCACATGTAGTGTGTCATTACAGATTGCAGAATGTCTTCAATCTAATATGAAGCTATGCTTGTGTCTCCCATAGCAACAATATTGTGGCTATATCTGAAGGTGCAGTATATCAGTCAGACATCACTTGTCACCGTTCGACAACTGTAATACTGGTCTACCTAGGTATCCCTGTACAGAGAATGCAAAATGGTAACGATTTTGTGTGAAGTTGTGATTTTAGTCTCCTGTAGGAACAGCGCTGTGGCTACATACAAATGTATATCGGTCCAGCACCACTAATGTCTTTTTCAGCACAGTGCATAAAATAACCGACAAAGGTTTACTTTGGTCTCCCCTAGCAACGGTGTTGCAGCTTCATACAGATTTATATTAATCCACAATGACTAATGTCTGTTCAGCATGATGCATAAATTCCCCTCTAGTAGTGATTTTTTCTGTCCTGGTCTTGAACATGAAATTGTTTCTCTGTGCCCTCCCTCTGGTTGTGTTGGCAGTTCCATCTCTATCATAGGATGCTTGGCCTATTTTGTTTTAGTTTCAGGTGTTGGTGTTGGTCCTTTGAACGTGTCTTTGGCTACTGGTAGTTCGCAGTTCTGTTTTCTTGAGCCCTGTAGTGGTTTTTGCTGTGTTGCCCACCCTTCGGTTTGACTGCTTTTACAACTTTGAGAGAAGGTGTTTTCTCGAAACACAATACAAGTCTGAATAGTAACCTTTGCGTATCTGAGACTGTATTCATTAAGTCAGAACTTTTTGTCCTGCATTTCACAGACTCTCTAGAAATAAAGAATGGATGAGGATGCTTTTAAGCTCAAAAGCTTGCACTTGTAAAATCAAGTTATCAATGACTGCTTTCACAGTCCTTTGTTTATGGGTTCACTTTTAAGCATACCCTGTAAATTTTATCACATTTTGTATTTATAGTGACGATGAAGAGGATGACGGTGATGATGATGATGACGAGGATGAAGATGATGATGACGAGGATGAAGATGAAGAGGGAGAGGAGGAAGAAGAGGAGGAAGATGAGGAAGAGGAAAGAGGGGATGAAGATGAGGAAGACGAACAGAAAGTGGAGTTCTCAAAGAAAATTCCACAGCCGGTAAATATATGGATCATGTTTTATTGAAACTCCACATTATAAGTCTAGCCTATAGATATTGCTTCATTAGGTTATTAGATAGTTGTATTTTTTTTTTATACTGGATATGTTAGACTGCTTGAGAATATTCTGGTTTGTGATCTTATATGCAAAACCAGTAATGCCAGACTACTGTGGACTACGCTTTTTTACCCTAGAGTAAATGCAGGGTCCTGGGTTTAGTAACATTTATCTGGTCTCACACAGTACACGCTACATGGAAATGCAGTTATTTTAGTAATTTTTATTTTTATTATTATAAAGTACCTTACACATGTACAATCACATTACTAACACATATAAATAATCTTCATAACATATTTTCTTTATTAAATAACCTTCCCTCCCCCATCCCCTCTAACCAACCCCCCTCCCTATTCACCCAACCTTTCTCTTCTTTAATAACATAAGCTTCAATGCTGGAAATTTCTCTTTTTCTTATTTTTCTTATTCCTTCCTCTCCATATCTTCTAACACTTATTATTCTAACAGTTTGGCAAATCTGTGTACTTCTGAAATCCTTCCACCTTTTTGATGTCCTCATAAAATTCTCAAGTTTATCTTCTCCATTATGGTATAGCTCTTCCCTCTTAAAAGTATATTCTACTCTCCTCACCTGATCTTTGACTTTAGGTAATTCTTTAGATTTCCAAAATTTGGTGATTAAACCTTTTGCCACATTGAGTAATTGAAGCACAATCCTATTTTAAATTGTTTCACTGTAAGGTCCGTAGCATGAAACAAACACGCCCATGGTTCCATTATCACCTTTTCTTTCGTTATTTCTAATATTAGTTGTGTTATCGTTTGTCAGTATGTTTGTACCTTAGGGCGTTCCCACCATATACAGGTGAAACTCGAACAATTTGAATATCGTGCAAAAGTTCATTTATTTCAGTAATGCAACTTAAAAGGTGAAACTAATATATGAGATAGACTCATTACATGCAAATCAAGATAGTTCAAGCCGTGATTTGTCATAATTGTGATGATTATGGCTGACAGCTCATGAAAACCTCAAATCCACAATCTCAGAAATTTAGAATATTACATGCAATCAATAAAACAAGGATTGTACATAGAACAATATCTGACCTCTGAAAAGTATAAGCATGCATATGTACTCAGTACTTGGTTTGGGCCCCTTTTGCAGCAATTACTGCGTCAATGCGGCGTGGCATGAAAGCTATCAGCCTGTGGCACTGCTGAGGTGTTATGGAAGACCAGGATGCTTCAATAGCTGCCTTCAGCTCTTCTGCATTGTTCGGTCTCATGTCTCTCATCTTTCTCTTGGCAATGCCCCATAGATTATCTATGGGGTTCAGGTGAGGTGAGTTTGCTGGCCAATCAAGCACAGTAATCCCACGGTCATTGAACCAGGTTTTGGTGCTTTTGGCAGTGTGGGCAGGTGCCAAGTCCTGCTAGAAAATGAAGTCCACATCCCCATAAAGCTCGTCTGCGGAAGGAAGCATGAAGTGCTCCAAAATCTCCTGGTAGACGGCTGTGTTGACCCTGGACTTAATGAAGCCCAGTGGACCAACACCATCTTGCAGTGTGTGCCTCTCCATTCTTCCTCCATACTCTGGGTCCTTGGTTTCCAAATGAGATGCAAAAGTTGCTCTCATCAGAAAAGAGGACTTTGGACCACTGAGCAACAGACCAGGTCTGTTTTCTTTAGCCCAGGTAAGACGCTTCTGACGTTGTTTGTTGTTCAGGAGCGGCTTGACAAGAGGAATACGACATTTGAAGCCCATGTCCAGGATCCGTCTGTGTGTGGTAGCTCTTGATGCACTGACTCCAGCCTCAGTCCACTCCTTGTGAAAGTCCCCAGCACTTTTGAATGGCCTCTTCTTGACAATCCTCTCCAGGCTGTGGTCATCCCTGCTGCTTGTGCACCTTTTTCTTCCACACTTTTCCCTTCCACATAACTTTCTATTAATGTGCTTTGATACAGCACTTTGGGAACATCCAACTTCTTTTGCAATTACCTTTTGAGGCTTTCCCTCCTTAAGGAGGGTGTCAGTGATGGTTTTCTGCACAACTGTTAGGTCAGCAGTCTTTCCCATGATTGTGATTCCTACTGAACCAGACTGAGAGACCATTTAAAGGCTCAGGAACCCTTTGCAGGTGTTATGGCTTAATTAGCTGATTAGAGTGGGACACTTAGAAAATTAGAATATTGTGAAAAGGTGCAATATTCTAGGCTCAGAGATTGTGGATTTGGGGTTTTCATGAGCTGTAAGCCATAATCATCACAATTATGACAAATCACGGCTTGGACTATCTTGCTTTGCATGTAATAAGTCTATCTCATATATTAGTTTCACCTTTTAAGTTGCATTACTGAAATAAATTAACTTTTGCATGATTTTCTAATTTTTCGAGTTTCACCTGTATAATAAAAAGATAATACTAAGTTGTCACCGAATAAACAGGTACATAGCAGAAATGTAAAAATTACTCTGGTCCATAGGGGGTGAACAGGTGTGAGAGACTAAAGGGTTAAAGTTTGTACAGGTGTAATTTAACCATGTATTTAATGTTATGTTTTTATTTAAGGAATCGCCACCTACTGCGGCCCCCTCTTCCACCTGTTGATGCGTCAACTTTTCTCAGCTTTCCCTCCCCAGAAAAACTCTTGCGGATGGGTCCTAAGAGTTCAGCCATAGCAGCTCAGGTATTCATATGTTGAGCATTGCACACTGAGTTATGAATTTTTTATAACTTATTCAAAATAAAATATAGTTCTCCATTTTATTCTACTGCATTTGAAAACCAGCGTACAGAACAGGGGCACAGGAAGTCTTTAACCTTTTGAGTTTTTTTTTACTGCTGCCTACAGGAGAATTACACTGGTAAAACAAAATAACTGTAGGTCAGCCCACGATAACCCCTCCTACTACCAGCATGCCTTAGTTTTTTGCTAGTGTACTAGGAAAATCTCTTTTCTTCAGCTCTGCTGTGTTAAAGTCACTTTTTATTCTTCAATGGGGACTTTTCTACATGCTTCTGTATTTCCCCTCCAATTGCAGCTATCCAACACAGTTGCTCTCAGCCTGGCTTTTGGAGCACGTCATCTGGATTCTGCTGGATTGGATGTGGCAGGGATAGCTTGGAAGTGACTTTTGGACTTCCCGTCTCATCTCTTGCATGCGTCTCTTCTCTGTACAAATGCTTAGGGCACTTTGGCTAAAGTGCTTGGACTGTGGAACCCTTGTGCAGAAAGAGTTTGATCATCATGACCTTCATGGGACATAGTCTCTTTGGACCAGCTATGGTGGCAAGAATATCCATCTTTCTGAGCGGACGAAGCCCATTGAACTGACTTCAAAGTCTGTACTCTCCCTAACTTTTAATGTCCCTTTCTTTTTTCCATTCCCTCATCAAGACCCTCTAAACTTGGCTCCCTGTCCATCCACAAAATCTGGCAGTCAGTCTGCAAAATCCTCAGCCAAGTTTTCCTCTGCATGAGGACTCCCCATCAATTTTCCAATATGGTATGATTTTTTTTCATCTCTGCAGATGCTTGGATAGCTTGCATCGCAGACTCTTGTTATCTGTAGTTATCGGAACTCTAAACTAGGGTTCTGATCCCTGCCCTCTCCTTCTTTTCAAGCTTACTGTGTCACCACACAAACTAGCAAATCTTCATCAAGCCCTTTCAGGTCTTCTGGATCAAAATGCCATTGCCCAGTTGTTGCAGCACACTTGTGTCAGCGGTTTTCCCCCAACCTGTTCAGTGTTCCCAAAGGGGGCATTTTCCCTAACATGCATCTAAAGGCTTGAAATATCTTCATTCAAACATTCAAATGTAAACCACCATTTTGTCATTGTCTCCTCATCATGGAGGCTTTGTCTTCTGTGGACACCAAAGGTGCTTTCTTGCCCTCCACTTTCTAGGTCATTACGGATTCCAGCACTTTGCTCTGGGGCCCCTATGCAACTATTTGTGGACTTGCCCCTTTTGCCTCACGTTCACCTTTTTGTATGCACCAGTATTAGCCCTGCTGCACTCCTGTGGCTTCACATGGGGGCATTTTTAGATTACATCCTGTTGAACAAACAGCGAGGGCTCTCAGTCATCTCTGGACTGCACCATCAGCTCTTGGAGGATATTTCTCGTTTAGAACACCTGGGATGCAAATGTGGGGGTGTTCCTTCCTCTCTATTCCTTTTTGTGGGAGGATGAAGAGTCAGAGGAAACTCCTTCTGGTTAGGTGGAAGCCATTGATCTAGAATCTTCTGTGGAAGAGTCCTCTCAGGAGGTATCATAGATACTGGATCTGTCCCAAGCAAATATTCCCAGCAAACCATGGTAGACTTCCTAGTGGATGTGTACCACTTTCAGAATCCCATCTCCATTTGACATGGTCTTTGGGTCTTGGCAGCTGCCTAAAAATCCCTAGTTCTTTTCAGTGCATCCTCATTTATAAGAAATATACCGATTGACTCACCCATAGAAGATGTTTTCACTACTTAAATGACTTGCTCACTCATGGAGGAGGATTTCTGAAAGAAATGGGGTTCTCCAGGTGTTTGACCTGGCTAATTCCTGCTTAAATAAGACCTTGGCAGTTCCAGTAGATGATATTCTGGTCTTAAACAGGGCACTTTATAGTGTAGCGGATGGAACAGCAGTGGGAGGAGGAGGGTGAATACCGGAGCAGGAAGCAGAGATACTATTCTAATAGGTGTGAGGCGGAGGACGGGGGCGTGCTTTCGGAGCAGGCGGCAATGCACACTGTGAATCCTGTACAGAGGGCAGGAGTGCACACACACTTCTGCTTCGGTCTCGGCAACTGCTAGATTAATCAGTTACCATCTGGATTTTTCTGTTGAGCCATAAGAAGCTAACTTCTAGACATGTTGGAAAGAGTGGTCTTTTGGAACTGTGTGACATAAAGAGAAGACACCGACGAATCCAAAGTTGGACTATTGGAGAGGAGAGAGCTTTGGCCATATCCATGTGCTGTTTACTGCTGGTACATTGATGAGTGTCTACCATCACCACTTTAGAGGATTGCTCTGATCATTTCAGAAGGGGTATCATCGGATGAGTGCCCCCCTTTCTTAGCCCTATGACCCCTTGCAGGTTGCAACTTGAAGGTGAGCACACACGCTAGCTGGTGGAGGATTGGCTGTGTGTTTTTTTTGTGGTCACTGGATGTTCCACGGTTTCTTCTGAAGATGCATATATTCACTGGGACTGTACACTTTATTCATATTTATTTTATGTAATAACGTTTTTCATGTGATTTTTCGATTCATTATTATTTATTTATTCATACTGTCACTCTGTTCACATTGGGTGGTTTTTGTTTTGTGAGTGATTAATTTTTAATAATTTTTTTGTCACTTGTTTATCATCATTTGTTATATTTTACATTTTCTACATTTGCAATACGATCAGTTTTCATGGTGCTTTATTAATTCTTGTATCATCCTATTTATTCACCATTTTCTGGTTTGCTCAATTTATCTCTAGTTATTTAGATTTTGTTTGCACCTATTTTACCTTGATTCATTATTATTTAGGGGTCTATGTGACTGGGTAGCGCAGCATAATTTTTTCAATTCCTTTTTCTGATACTGTTGGTATGATAGGCAGGTGTTAGCAGCCACCCGGTTTTGTTTGGTTTAGCATTGGTGGCGTAGGAGGAATTTGTTTTGTTTTTATAGTACTTTACATTGTAAACGTTTCCAACTTGGCACTAAAGTTGAACCACTCAAGAGCTAATTTTCCGGGGGGTGACCAGGTGTACACCACACACTTTAATGCCACTTCTGATTTAGAGCCCTTATAAGGTGTACAGGCGCTTCCTCCTGCTCGCTAGCCACAAGGAATAATTGCAGGACTGTCTACACGTAGTTTACCCTGTACTCCTACAGGACGCACTTACCCTATCTCCCAATCTCTACTTCATGAGTTCCCCACAGGGGAATACCCGCATTTGCAGCTATGGTGGAGACCAGGCAAAAGGGAGCCAACGCTAAACAGCAGTCGAACCTGCTCTGCCAGAAGTCCATACAGCACTCAATGACAGTGCATTCCTTTGCACCAGATCTTAACCGGTCTTAACATTGGTCTCTGGATCAAATTCTAGCTCTATTCCAAGAACAGAACAAGCAGCCTGCTTGACAAAAGCAGAATTTTCTGCATCTGTGTCACAATTTCTCAGATTATGGTCTTCAGCCATCTTTGTCCAGAGCTCAAAAACACCCCACCTTTTCTTCATACCCCTCTTTTCCAACCAGTGTCAGACCCTGATAAGCTGGTCCTAGAGGACACTGGAATGAAGAGGACGTAAAGGCAGTGCTGGAGGAAGCTGCAGAAGATTTCTCTCCTCACACTGTCACTATAATGAAGATGGGTGTTGCACAACATACTTACTAATGTTAATGTACAGTACTTATTGCATCTGTATGCAAAAGCCTTGGCAGTGTACAGATTGGCTCTCCTATGTCTCGTCACTGCCCTTTAGACACAGAGACCTCTTCTTTTTTTTTTTTTTTTTTTTTTTTTTTTTTTTTAATTTAAATATTTATTCATTTTTCAAGTAAGACAATACACATTTCCATAGGGTAAAATATAACATTACAAAATCTGATAAAACACTAATTTCAAATCATTTTCTCCCCATGACTCCCTTCCTTTTAACCCTCCCACCCCGCTTCAACATACCCCTGACATCTATCTGATCTACTTGTATCTCATATCCTCTGGAGACCGAGGCCTGGAAAAGGAAAGAAAGAAAGGCCAATTCCTATATTTTCTCTCTCTCTATCACTTCCCCTTTTACCTTCCTTTCTTCTTGTCCTCTCTTTCCCTTTTCTTTATGCTTACTTACTCAGTACCTTCCTTTACCTTCCCTTTGAACTCCTCCCATTTCTCCCATTTCATATGATATGTCACCATCCTATCTTCCTGTATATAATAAAGTTTTTCCAGTCTAGCAATCTGGTCCACTCTATTCATCCAGTCCTCTTCCCTCGGTGCTTCAACTTTACCCCAGAACTTAGGTATCAGACTTTTTGCTGCATTTAAGTAGCACAATATACTCAGTTCTCTATATTTATTTCTAGGTAATTTTGAGTTATGAAAAAGACAGGTTTCAGGGTCCAGTCCTATCTCCATTCCAGTGATATTCGTGATTTGATTTAAAATTTTTTCCCAATATACTTGTATTTTTGAGCATTCCCACCATATGTGATACATCGTGCCCAACCCTCCACACCCTCGTCAACACCAAGGTTGCTTCTCCTCACTCATCTTGTGCTCTATCACCGGTGTTAGATACCACCTTGTCAAACATTTAAAATTCATTTTCTACCTCACGCATGCTAATATTTTCGTGTACCATTCTAAATATTTTCCTCTGTGTGTGCTCTTCCCACTCCACTCCTAGATCCTTTTCCCATTTTTCTATATATTTTAATTTAAACTTACTATCTAAGTCCGTGAGAGTTTTATATGCTTTAGCAGTGCTGTGTTTCCCATCACCTCTGTCTTCTAAGTATTTCTCAAATTCATTTCACTCTTTCCTAGTTCTAAGGGGCTTCGTCAATTTCTCCACAAATTGTTTCAATTGATTGTATCTCCATATATCTTCCTAGTGAAAATCCTTCCCTCTTCCCTTTTCAAATCCTCCAGTGATCTTAAGTGTACCCCCTTCATTA